TAATTTAATATATTTTTATGGATTTATAGTAAAATGAGGATGTTCAAATTAAAATAATTTTACATATTTAGCTCAATCTACAGTGCAAAGCAAGTAAAAAACTAATATAATCTATAATATTTTTGCATAAAACCTAGACATAAACTCCCTTGAAGACTCTTTCTTTTTCTGCCTTATGTTCATGAGCATTACTAAGGTCTTCTTTGGTCATCTATTAGCTGCAAAGTGGCGAAGGAAGACATAAGAGATTTCTTGAAAGTTCAGGATTTATGGAGGGGGCAAGTTTGAGAACAAAGCTCCAGCTCATCCTTTTAATGTGAAGGGAAACGCCTCACAGAGCACTGGATCGACCCACCGATGATCTAGTCCTGTTTAATCCGGTAATGAAATAATAAAAAGTACGAAAGTAAAACTTGAGAATTTTATTATTTTATTATCTTATTGGAGGTTTTCTAGATCATTGGTGGACCAATTGAACTCGAATTTCGATGTGTCCTTGCTCTTTTGTGTAGATCTAGTCGAAAATATTACTGGAAGAATCAAGTCCATGTTTAGCTCAACATGTTCAACATCAAGCATCAGCCGTTTTAAAATAATACAAAATTATTTCAAAGGTTTGATCTAACAAATTAAGGTTTCAGGTGAGATTTTTATTTAATATATAGTATAAGAGTTTTGATAACCAAATTATCATCTTTTTTTTTCTAAATAATTAAAGATAAAATAGTAATAGGTTTATGTAAATGTTAAATTTAAAAAACTTTTAGTTAAAAATATGTTAAAAATAATATAAGGTTATTCTTAAAATTTCATTTATTAGTTTAAATTTTTGAATTCAGAAATTAATTTTACACCCCAATGATTTTTATTTTTATTTTTTTCTGTTTTAGCACCCATGAATAGATGGATGTTGAAATAATCAGTGGTATCTAATACCATCCAATCAGAACTTTGATATAATTGTTTAACCGTATAATTATGGGAGGGACTATGATTTATACGAGAGGCTAAAAGGACGCTCCGGTTGTAATCATCACCTGCAAGACTGAAAATGTCTCATATACGAAAAGTGATGGACAATTGCGCGAAAGGGCAAGAAAAATTGTTTGTTTGGTGGGTTACAGAAATGGAAAGAATGTCAAATGTTTGATGTCACATAAAGACTCCAAGGAACCCTTGGAAAATTATTCATTAGACAAGCCACTACGATTCAGGTGGTCATTTTTATAGATCCTCTTCTTCTGTTCTGTTTGACATATCTGTTTCTGTAAAGCTTCCACTAATTCTAATTACTTGGAATTGCTCACTTCCCACTTCAAGAATATGCAGATGTTTTCGGGGTTTTATTTGGAGCAAAGTGGTAAATGAAGAGCGCATACTCGAGGCAGGTTTTGGTTGGAATATTTAGGTGGTGTTTGATAATAAGAAATGAAATAACGAGAATGAAAATAAAAGTTTTATTCTTATCTTTTGGTTCAAAAGAATGAAGTAAGAATGAAAATAGTGAAAATGAAAATAAAAACTACACACAATGTCATTTCCATTTAAAATAAAAGAATAAAAACTACAAATGAGAAAGATTTTTTTTTCAAAAATAATAATATATTTTATTTGTTTATTGTATATCAACTATTTCTACCATCACTACAGATCACGAGTACCACTACCACCACTACCATCATCATTGTCACCACCACAACAACCATCACCACTACCACAATAGCCATACACCACCACAACAGACCATACACCACCATTATCATCTTTATTATTTTTACAATCATTATATTTTAATAAAATTATTTTTTTAATTATTATTTTTATTTATATAAAAAATTAAATTGTATTTTGATTTCTTAATTTTCATTTTGCTTCCGACATTTTTATGTTGAACTTTTCATTCATGGTAACAAGAAATTTTATAATACTCAAGAAGTAATTAGTAGTATGTACAATAGTTACTAGATAAAGCTATTTTAAATTATATATATTAATTTTCTCTTTCTTGTTTTTTTTTCTGTCTAGCTCTCTTCTCAAAGTAGATCTATGAAGTAATTACTGTATATGTCACTAGTTATTCCTTGAGTATTATAAAATTTCTCGTACTCAAAGTGGCTTTATAAAATAACAATTCTATATATCACTAATTACTCTTTGAGTATCATAAAATTTCTTTTTAGCAACCAAACGATATCTTAAAGGTATGTTTGTTATGAACAATAGATACCGTAAAGATAAAGGAGAAGGATTAAGAGACAAAAAGATGCATGTTAATACGACAAAGCAAAGGATAAAGAGAGAAAAAAAATGTGTATCAATTCAAACCATTTTATTATTTAGCTAATAAAAGAACATAAACGCTGCATTATATAATTGCTTACAATTAATTAATCATTGCTTACAGTTAATTAATCCAAAATAGTGATTGGGTCTGTGCTAATTATTTGACGGCAAATCCCCAACGTACAGGATTGATTATAAATCATGAAGTTTACCCTGTAGAGACCGTGATATTCAACATCGGATTTATATTAGTCAGGACTCTGATATTCAATGATTCTTTTGATTCCGATCAAGAAATCAGTACGAGCGTGCCTCTCAAAAAGACTACACCAACCTAAGCTAGTTGCAATCAACTGCAACGCAATGGGAGTAGGAGAGGTGGGGGAGAGGGGAGCATTATGAAATGGTACTGTCCACACCCAAAATACATCCTCAAGATAACTAATGGGTTTTGCTCATGTTTTGATTTCGTAGCATTCAGATTTTTTTAATTGAGATCTTAATTTTTTATTTAATTTAAAAATTTTATTATTATGTTATTATTATTTTTGTTTCAGATCTTAATATACTACGTAAATATGTATGATAAACTCTAACCAATAATAGCTTGTTACATATCATGATAAGTTCGGATTGAATTTTAATAAAGATAAAAAATGTTTATGTGTCAAGCTTTCATTAACTCAAATTTGCCAAATGTGTTTACGTGGTACATTAAAATCTAAAAACAACAATAACATAAAAAAAACTTTTAAATTGGATATAAAAAAATTTTAAAATCTCAATAAAAAAAAATTCAAATTATACAAGGTTTCAATTTGAGTAAAACCCAATAACTAATAGTTGAATGTATCATCAAAGCTTGATTTATGGCCACGTAGAAATAATCCTCCTAAGAATTTGGTTCAAGTGGTAATTTTAATTAAGTATCTTCACTTTTTTTTTTTCACATGACATATTTATATCCCAATAATTTTTTTATTTTCAATCCTAATATAAATGTAATAAGGATTTTACGAAAGTGGAGGAATGTGAAATACAAAATAGTTTTTTTGTTGGGTATATAATGACACTATATACATTATTCATTCGTTTTAAATTAGAAAAAAAAAAAAACTAGTATTGGTTATGAGTAAAGTCGGTGAGGATATTATACGTTTAGCCAATTAACACATCTTTGAACTTGAAAGAAAGTGAACCCTTTGCCGGTGGATTGTGGAAAATCGATACCATCGTCTACAGAATTTATGGTTGGATGAGAATTATGACCCTCTGACTAATAAACACTTGCCGTACAAAGAAGAATGGATCCCTTGACCTCCTTACATATTATTTTTTCTGTCAAAATAAATATTGTAGGGTTTTCCACTTCTCACTTAGGTTACGATAGAAACTAGTGATATATATATATATATATATACAGGCACGATTAGACTTGCCCACCGTTGTTGGTTGAGAGTTGACTTTTTTAAGTTTCCGTCAAGGAATTCTTGGCTCTCCTCTCTCCTCATTCTAAATTAGGATTTCCCTATTTTCAGCTGGCAATTAATATCACGTTTGTATCGAAAATTGTCGACTACTACTTCAATAAAATTGGTTTTCGAGGGCTATGTTTGGATACAGATATATTTACGAAGTAAAAAGCACTAAAAGTGGAATAAAGAAAAGGAAGCTTTTAGACAGTTAAATCTTCTTGTTTTTCCAATATTTCAGTAGGGTTTTCTTGCATTCAACATTACATCATTTAGGACATCAATATTCCTTAACTTTGCAATAAAGAACCACTTTAGATCTCACGCACACTAATAAATGTATTGGTGGTTTGGGTGTCCAGTTGATTCTAATTGGCCGGTCAGCTGTAGAAATGTCTTCGAGAAGGAACTGTTTTATATTGGGGGTAACTGCTGTCGGAAATTGCGTTTGGACAGCAAATCCTAGGATCCCATGTGTTCTTTTTTATAGAAGCTGGCCCAAAATTTCAATCTTGATACGATCACAGCCGACCTTTTCAATACGTGTCCATACTATCTACCTAGTAGTATTTCATATATAAATTTTGTATACCTGAAATGACCTTGTATTTGGCTATTAATTAAATAATATAAGTTATTTCCGTCAGACTAATCGAGTGTGTCGGTATTGCAATCTTGACCATAATGCCCAAATTCAAGCAGGAGGTACTTTTTATTACAGTCTGAAAGCAATAGGCATTTTGGCCCTTGAATAGAAATCCCAAATCACAGCAAGCAAAGCCCCTGATTGCCTTCACCTTCAAGTTCACATTTGACCATTCGTGTGTTTATTTTTTCTCTGCTAGTGATGTTATATTAATGTTTGACCCTGGCTGTAGCTAGAAAAAGACACCACTCGGACCATTTTTTCAATTTGATCAATGATCAGTTGGTAGGAAGTCCGCACCTCGAGCAAATATTTTAATGGCCAAGGAATTTTAGGTGTTTACATGTACACTTTTTTACGAACTTTAGAAATGGACAAACCAATTATATCCTTTGGTGTTTACATGTACACTTTTTTACAAACTTTAGAAATGGACAAACCAATTATATCCATGCCCAGCTAGCTAGGCTGCCCCATTGCCTTAATTTATATACCACGCATCTGTTTCAAAAAACTTAAAAATCTCCAAAAATGAAACTCTTTCACCTCTGCCTCGTCTTTGCTCTTCTTATTTTCTTTAGCAGTACTCCTAGAAGCAGTCACGCGATTCGCAGGAGCTTTTCTGCACCTTCCACAAGCCAGCAGATTTTTCGCTCTCCCTTTAGTGCTTCGCCCTTTGCAGAAAGAGCTAAAGAATTCGAGTCACAGAAGCGAAGGGTTCCCACAGGGTCGAATCCATTGCATAACAAGCGATAAATGTTTCTGCAAGGTTTCTGGCCGATCGAGCTAGTACGACCCCTTGTTCTCTTTGCTTCAATTATATATGTCTTATACAGGATCTAACAACAGCAACTTAGGTAATTATATGCTTAGCTAGCTAGCACAGATCAGAAGCACTCTGATATTTACTTAATTATATCACATAATATATATATATATACACTTTGTAAAGATCATGTTGAGCAGATCGTTATTAAATTAAGATTTTAATGTTTGTTTGAATAATATTCGATTCCTTGTGTAAATATGAGTAAACAATATTCATTTACATTTACACCTTTATTTGAGTACTAGTATCTATATATTATATATATGTTTCATAAAGATTAATTAATGTTTATTGCATTCATATCTTAATTATTGTATCGACACTACAAAAGATTTTAGTAATGATTCAGGATTTGAAATGATAGTTCTATATTGGAACACATGATCCAAGCGAAGGCTAAATTTTTGTGGGGTTTGCAACTTTTAGTGTGTGGTTTTTGTCTGCCTCTTTTCATGTGGTAAGCCAAGAAACAGGGAGAAAAAAAAATGCAAATTGGCAAATAGCTTCAACAAGAGAAGTTTGATTTTCATCATAGCTATCAACTGCTCTGATTGCGACATCATATGTGAAATATTAATTTGCTTGGCGCTGAATCATATGTTGATCGGTGCAAAATATAGAAAGATCACCAGCATCGATCAAACAGCTGCACCCAAACCAAGATTTATACGCAATGGTTGCAACTTGCAGCTTTATCCTGTTAATTAATTTGTTCGTTCCAAAAGACCTGGCCAGTTCGGTTAATTTCCTGACAGGAACATTGAAAGATACTAAGATAGATGGAATGGGTTGGCCAGCTTGTCCACTCAAACTCCTGACCCAGAGACCCCAATTTTAATGGCGAGTGTAAATACACATTATTCCATACAACAACCATGCAATTAAGAAACAGTACCCTCACGCTCATAAAATGGAATTTTCGTACTTCAACAGTTGCAGCAATTATGTCTTCTCATATACTTGTACAATAACTATTAATATTTGTCCAAGATAGAAGGGGGTGACCAATTCTTGCTCCAAAAAATAGAATCCATGAAAGATGGGATCTTATCTGTGCAGATCCTGCACTTAATTGGAGATGGAAAATAGTAATGAGGTGTAGGGTAAGTAGTGTGTGGAGGTGGGTTGTGGTCCATACTGGAAGTGCACATACTGGTTATTGCTCCCACCAACACCAAGCCTTTTAGAATATGTGTATATGCGCATGTAATTTAGTATTTGAACTTTTTGGTTCAACAAATTATTTCCCAGTTGAAAAATGTATTTACCTTTATTTTCAAGTCAATCTGAGAAATATCAGCCCACGCATCAATAAAGGCACGCCCAGTGACGGAGGGATATATATAGATATATAGTTGACTTTATCATCTATTGGAGCATTAATAATATTATTGTAAATAATTCTTCTTCCTATCTGTTTCCTTTTTCAAAATAGGTCAGTGATGTTTACTCCTGAGATGGTCTAAAATTTCTCCACAAATGGCGCCCTGTGAGTGCCTCTGTCCAAAACTGATCAGAAAAGTTCAGTGTAGTCACTAAACAGATGCATACATGCAATTGAATCCTCGAGGGTTAAAATTGGTTGCCCACACGTGTCCGGGTTAAACGTCATCTGTTTTACTCTTTTTAAAAGAAAGTTTGTAGGTTGAGCCATGCGCATGGTTTTGCCAGGCGTGAGCGTGAAGGCTTGGCTTGACTCCATTTCCGTATTTTTTTTATTCTTTAATTATTTCCTTTTGTTATCCTTTACACAACCTTACAAAAGTTATTTATGATGTACTCTTTTATTTTGAGTTAAATACGCATTTTGCTTTTATTTGAAAATTCAAATGATAAAGATTCCATGATTAAAATTTTATGAATAAAATTTATAAAAACGATACTGTGAGAAAAGGATAATTTATTTAAAAAATATTGAAGTTCTCCTAAATGAAAACACTCACCAACTAAAATGCACGCATGTAGTTTTTAATTTATGATTTATGAATTTAATGTGGCAATCCGTCTTCCTTCCCCCCACCAGAATCAATATTTGTTGAACTTTTTCTTTGTCCATTTAAGCTTTAACTAGATTTGTTTGGAAAAAAAAAAGATTATTGGTTCATTTATTATTATATAATAGGTTAATTCTCTAACTTATCTTTATAACTTAATTAAACTAATTTTATTATTGAATAGACTTTAAATATCTAATTTATCCTTATTACAAGATTTTCATATTAAACTATCGAAATTAGTTAGATGATATGTACATAAAAATCTTCTATTTTACCGATTTGTAAAGGTATTTTAAAAATAAAAATTAATAATATTTGAATCACGTGAATAATTTTAGTGATTTAGTTCAAAAATCTTGACAAAAGAATAGATTGAAAACTTAATATATATTAAAGAATAAAATTAACTTAATTAAAGATATAAAAATAATTTAAAAAATTATCTTATAATATAAAAATGGATTGAAATGTTAACTCGAAAATAATAATAATAATAATAATAATAATAATAAGCAAACTCCCGAAAATGCACAAATCCACATGCGTCTATTAATTCTATGAAATATATATAATTAAATAACTCATAAAATTTATAAAGACCGTGAAATTACGTTAAGATTGATTTAACTGGTTCCAAGCACGGGTGTTGATAGCCTGCTGTATGTTTATTACAAGTACGATGTATAAATTTGAATTTATATGTTATATTTATTCTTCAACAACCCTTAATTTTATTTTATAAAACGACATTAAGAAACTAGTCTGGACATCAAACTATCTTTTAATGGATACATTCCAAGTCTCGAACCTTAGAATGCATGGCTCCACACTGGATAAATTAATACATCTGTGGAAAGTCGTTTTGATTATTGCAAGTATTATAGTACTTATTGAACTTTTTATTTTTTTGATATTCGAAGAACCAGTCTAAACTTCAATTTTTTTTTTTTTATGGGTGCATCATCCTAAACCCTGATCGTAACAAGTGAACCTCAATTGGTTGGTTAACGTACGTAATTTAGAACAGTTCCAGGTAATTGAGGTAATCTTTCAACTTTTCGATTCCATTTTTAATAATTTTTTTTTAAAAAAGAAAAAAGAATGAATCTACAAATTACCCCACAATTAAAACGGCACCTGAAAGCCGAATCAAAATTAACCAGCCTGACTGTTTGGTCAGCCACACCAATCGAATCAACTCCAACTGGAGATCGAAAGATATGAGTTTTCTAGCTGGAAGATTAGCAGGAAAAGAAGGAGCCTTCTTTTTCCAGGAATCCAAACACGCCGTTAACCGCCTCGCAGAGAAATCCACCACCACCGTCAAGAACCTCCCACCTGCATCTTCTACAATAGAGCATGAATCCCAAGCCGACGTGCTTCCCGAGGTGTTAAGACATTCTCTTCCTTCCAAGATCTTCAGCAGGCCGTACGACCCGTCTTCGCTGTCCACAGCATCCAAGTGGGTCCTTCGCTCTGATCTTACAAATAGTAGTTCGACTCTGACCCCTGACGATCTCAATCCTCTCCGAGCTTATGTCTCCCTCCCTCAGGTCAATTTTGGTCCCAAAAGGTACCCCCATCAATCAATAATAACACAAATTTAAAAAAAAAAATTGTTGAGGTTTTTAATTAAAGTTTGGTGGGTGAATGAATCCGAACAGATGGCAATTGCCGGCTCGGGAGCACTCGGTGCTGGCGTCGACGGCGAATGAGATGCGAAAAGACAGATATGCCACTGTAAATCCCGAGAAATTGAAGGCCGCAGCCGAGGGGCTTCTTTATGGTTAGTTACTTTTTTTATTTTTTTCCTTTAAATTTATTTTAATATATGAATGGAAATTGAAAATGAAAGATTAAACCTATTTATTAGTGCTTGTCACTCATGCTGTTATTCTAGTCGGAAAGGCATTTGCATTTGCAACTGCAATTGTGTTTGGTGGCGCCACTTTGGTGTTTCATTTGGCGGCTTCCCGGCTAGAGCTGCGCCGTGTAAGTAATCGAAGAAGAAAACCGTTCTTCTCTATAGTTTATTAATTACTAATATAATGCAGTACTGGGATTAGTTCTTTATTGTGATTAATTGAAGACAATTTGTATTAGTATTAGATTTTGCAAGAGCATGCTGCCTTGCATCACCGGTATTACCTGAACTTTTTAAATAATCCTGACAGGTTGATGATATCCGAACTAAAGGGAAAGACCTGGTTCAGCCAACAATTTATACGATCAAGGAGCAATTCGTGCCCTTAAAAACTTGGGTAGATGATTTTTACAAGCTCTGGTTTTGATTGCTTTAGTTTTTTTCTTTTATTTCTTCCTATTCTTTTTGGGGTTTTTCTTTGGTCATTTGTATATAAAAATGCTATCTTGCATCTTGTGTCGTCAGGCTGAAGATACATCGAAGAAATGGCGTCTTGATAGGCAGGAAGATATGAAAGAGAAACCTTTGGTCAAGGAGCTTTCTAAAGTTCTGGGTGTAAAAACTTCCTAGTGATTTCTGTGTAACTTTTTTGTTTTTTCATATAAATAATATGGAACAATTGGGACGATTGCAGATATTCTCTCTCTTTTGTTTCACTGAAATAAAAACTATGAGGTGAAAATGTTGTGTTATGAACCAAAAATTCAAATTCTCGTGTGCAGTTTGCAGTAAGCATGCCGTGGTTGTCTATATTGTCTATTTGGAAAGGGCTTTATCTCAAATTTCACGATCTTGTTCAACTGCAGTTTTTTGTTAAAGCTGTGAAAACTGAATCTGGGATAGACCATGGGACCAAACAAGTTCCTCCGGGCACATCTCACAACCTTTTCCTCGTCTTTTGCTTCAAGCACATGTATTTAGCCACTTCAAAACGAAAAAGAATTAGAGGGAAAAAAAAAATGAAAAGTAAAACAAGAGGAATAAAAAAAGGGAGGAAGAATAGAGGGGATATCCAAAAAAAGAATGTCGAGTTGATCAAAATGATAAGACAGCTGCTAGAGTGCTCGACGAATGAAAAGAATGATAAACTTGTGTTTGTCATGAGTTCAAAGAACATAGATTTTTTTTGTTGATTTGACTGAGAAGAAACTGCACTGGATGTACTTCAGATTCAGTATTTGAATCAAATATGACGGTTCTGATTCACACTGGGGAATAGGTACCCGTCCATGTGTAAGCATCCAGTCTCCATTTCATGAATGATGTCTGCATCTTTACAGCTTGTAATCTAAACCAGACCCATATTTCCAAGCCTCAAGATGCTGCTTCCACTCATACTTAATCTTGGATGGAAATGCAGTTAATAATGGTCTGAGAAGAAGAGGACAACAAAATATAAAGGAGCATACAGAAGAATAGCTCCTAATAATGTTAACATGGACAAAACTGAAGAGTAAACGTAAAAGAGGAAGATGCATGCAATACCTTATTACTGGATCTGCATAGGTGGAGAGAAAAGTGTAGTAGCCCAGCATGAAAAAATGACTGGACCAGTCAAGAAGCACAGGAATACCAACCTAAAGATGAAAAGATTGGTAAGATGAGTAGTAATTTGCATTACCAACCATTACTTCATAGTATCCGATTTATGTGTGAAGATGGATGCAGAGAAACCGAAATGCAGCATGTATGCTTTCAAGGTTTCATAATCTATATCAACACCACAATTAAGGTATTGAATTCTTGTCAATATATGTAGCAGTTACCAGCATCAAATAGTTTATAGCTACACAGTAGAGAAGCTAACATTTCATTTCTCTAACTGCTTACAAGCCAGGGTGATGGACCATTAACGGTACATGAAGGAGACATAGACTATGCTAAATTCTGGTAACAGAAACCAATGGCCAATTACTTGTGATTTTGGTGCCGGTAAATAGAATGAGGCTGCAACAATTACATTACCCAGTTGAATCATAAACATTCAGATTCTATAAAGATGAAAGCATATAACTAATGGGTGTTCAATTAATGCAAAATAATGTTGGTAAAAGCAAATAAGCGGCTTTAAAAAAATGGAAGCAAATGAGATGAACCTGCAAGAATTTATGCCTTCAAAAACACTAGGTAGGAAGTACTAGGAACCACCATCTCAAGTTGGAGAGAAATTACCGCATACAATTACAAAGAAAGAAAAACGAGAGAAAAAGAAAAGCTCTGAATCATGCATACCTGCTTGAATATATTTGGGATAATCTGAGGTTTAGTAAGCATAACAAGGCCTAGTGTCTTGGAAAGAGCCCAAAACTGTACAACATCCTGTGACCATATAGTGAACAGGCACCAGTATTATTATTTTATCTTCGATACTTTTTTTTCTTTTAGGACCAAATCACCTAAGACAAACAACTGGACCATACCAATCAAATCAACTTCGAAAAAAGGAATTCACTGAAAAGGAGACATAAGACAATTAACCTGAAGAAATGGTCTTAGAACTGGATCCCCCAGCTTCTGAGAAGAGATACGCAGAGTCATCAGGAAATGAAAGAAAACTGACAGACTCATAAAGAACAAAGAACTGCAAAAGTTGTGGCTTATTTACATAACAATGTGAGCCCACCTGCATACTCTGGAAATTGACATAAAGAAGCTCATTAATAAATTCTGGAGGGACGTTGGAGTTTTTCTTGGCCGACATTGCTCGTTGAAACAGCCACGAAGCACTTAAATTTGGCTACAATAAAGAAACTGTCATTGAGATAATTGTACGAGAGGATGTTCAACCATATAGCCATATATATATAAAAAAAAAGTCAGGGGTCACCAACCATATAAGGATTTAGGAGGGACAAGCTGGATGCATCGAGAAAATCTCCATTGATTGCTTCATATACTCCTTTATTCTCAGAAAATAAAAATGGTAAGCTTTCAACGAGAATATTTCTACATAGCACATGCTTATGGGTTTAATGGCAGAATTTGTCCCCATTTTATTGCGATTTGACAATTTTAAGCCCTTAGTACCAAATTGAGTAATTTGAACCCTAAAATATTGCTTTTTGGGCAAAATTGATCAAAATTCTCGAATTGCCGTTATATGTAATGGTAAACCCATTTGATCGTTAAGGTGCTGTTAAATTTTAATTTTTTAAATAAAAAACTGTTCAAAAAAAATGAAGCTAGCAATTAGTGGGGTTAAATTAGGGGGTAAGGCAGATGACGAGTTGTCTGCCTTACCCTCTAATCTAACACTTGCAAAAGGGACAGGGAGAGAGAGTAAGATGAAATAAGGTTTTTGAAAGCAATAGTTTGTTCTGTAATTGAAAGGGATAGAGAGAGAGAGAGAGAGAGGCTGTTAGGGTTAGCTTAATTGTTATTGAATCCCTAGAGAGACCAAATTGCAAGGAGAAGGGAGAGATAGTGTTAGGGTGGGTTGGGTTTTTCGCAATTGGAGTGAATTCGGGATAGAAAGAATGATTTAGGTCATTTTCAATTTTTGTAATCTTCCTCAAATTTGGTCTGTGATTGTGAGATTTCATGGCTTCCCCTTCTTCTTCTACTGCTTCAAAATCATCAAATGCAAAACCCAAATTTCTAAAGGAAAGTGGTGGTGGTTATGGTGGAGGATAAGGGAAAGTGAGTCTGGTGATTTGGAGAATTTATATCATCTCCTTGAAATTTCAATTTTTATTACGTTAGAAATTTGGGTTTTGAACTTGGATTCTCTGATTTTCTTTTAATTTGAGTGAAGAGAGAGAAGAGGTGGAGTGAGCTTAATTTCAACCGTTCTCATGCTGCTTCTGCTGAAGATGGGGTTCTTTTAATTTGTAGCTATGACCGTTACAATAACTAAACTTCACATATCCCCCATATAGCATAGATCATTTTAGTTTTGAAAAACACCAAAGCAGTAGATCATCACTTGTAAAGGGATTTTTTGAGGTCAGGTTTTGGGGTACAAAAGAAAAGTTGTGGGTTGTGTGTGTAGCGGTGCGGGTCTTTTAAGACTATGGATGATGGAGGAGTGGAAAAGAAACAGAAGGAGAAGTTTGAAATTTTGAAGGAAAATCACAGCAGGTTGAAGAAGAAAAGTCGGTTTTGGAGTTCTTTGAAAAAAGTAATTTCTGCATTGGTAGTTTGGATTCTCAGTCTATGAGCTTATGCATGTTTTTGATTGAATATCAGTGATTGTTGCTAAGATATTTCAATAATCCGGAATTTTATGGATAACTTCAGTTTTTTAATGGTTTTTCTTTTTAAATTAAAATTTAACAGCACCTTAACGGTCAACCCAATTGACTGTTACGTATAACGGCAATTAGGAAATTTTACTCAATTTTGCCCAAAAACCAATATTGTGGAATTCAAATTATGCAATTTGGTACTAAGGGTCTGATATTGCCAAATTGCAATAGAATGAGGGCAAAATTTGCCATTAAAACATGCTTATGTGGACACCATGAAAATAATTTCCTATTTCGTATAAAATCAGGGACCAGGTACTTGTAAAGACAAAGTAGTTACTTTTATCTGGAGTGATTTGTTATGCCTACTAAATCATCCGGTTTGTGTTATCCCTCCAAAATAATTAATTGAACCAAGTATCAGCAAATTAATCAAATGTTACTTTAATTCACACAAACAATATACCTGTTGACAATCTCCCAAGGTGCCTTGTCAAGCTTCCGAAACCACCAAATGAAACAGGAGACTGGATGCCACTAGCATCCCCAAACTGCAAAGAATGAATTAGTGATGCTTACATCTCATTCGTGTTGTGCCCATAATCTAGTAAGAGCTTTAGGATTGTGTGACATATTCCACCTGTAAGATACGATTAAATGCTGCAGGCAACGGACTGAAGAGTTGATCCTCCCCCATTAAGAATTTAAAGATGTTAGACTTGAGGACCAAAATTACTAAAAATATTCAATGGAAAAGAAGAACAAGATCATTTTTGGCATGAAGCAGACAAGGACTGATAATAAATGTTATACGAATTAATATAGTTTGCAAATAACAAGCAGTTTAGAAAAAACATAGCTTCATATTTATTTATAGCAATTCATTGGTTTCAAATCAAGATCGAAGAAATTATGAGCAATAGACTACAACGCCAAACATGCCTTGTGTTCCCATTATGACTCAATATACTCAAGTAAGATATCTCAGATCCTTCTTTATCAGAATGCTTAACACACCAAAAAGGAGAATGGAGAAGAATCTGAGATATCTTGACTCGAGTATATTGAGCAATAGACTACAATGCCAAACATGCCTTGTGAACTGAAAAAAATTCAAAAGAAAGGGGCTTGCACTTTCCCAAGTGAAGGAGTCCACAATTCTTTCTACCTTTCGGTCCTGTGGATGCCAGCCACTTTTTGTAGTTTTTTCTTTTGGAACGTATTGCTCTCAGTAAATGTGCTTATATGTATAATGCAGTTCCAGTAGCATGTAAGTAAGCCTTGGAGTTCATATGTTGCATCATTACCTGTCACGATATGTAGGGAAAATGCCATATATAACTCTTAGTATCTCCAGATTGTCAAGAGAGACTCCCTGCAAAATGAGCAAAAAAAGTGCACAATCTTACCAATCAGTTTGAGTGCCACAGAGAAGGAAAAGCTTGTAAATAGAACTTGTTAATACATGCATGCAACAATAATTATCAAATACATGCATTATTAGACTTCCTATTCCATTTCAAGTAGCAATACGCAAAACAAAGCTATTGGTGTAAATATTAAACCACAGGCTAACAACATGTGCTAGATCAACTTTCTTTTGGTCTTTTAGGATGGTTAAAATTGGGCACGTAATCTGGTCAATTAGGAGTTCTTTTTTGGTTTTTTTTTTTGTTTTTTGGGTGTATGGATGGGTGGACCACACACCCAGATGGGAACATTGTCTTTTTACACCCATTCATCTGGAGGGATCCACACTGGACATGTGTCAGGGCTGAAGCTTAGGGTATCTCCGCATGTGGGGCTAATCAGACCTAGATGTTCCACCTCACCAAGAAGCTAGAAATAGGACTCAAACCTGAGACCCATAGCTGAATGAGTCTTCTCCTTACCACCTGAACCAACCCCTTGGAAGCAGTCAGTAAGGAGTATAGGCAGCAGTATTGATTGCAACCAATACAAGACAAGTTTTGGTCCTCGACATCTTATCTTATCACATATCATAAAGAGCAGAAGGTATTATAAATGCCTAAAGAACATACTCCAAAAAGAAATGAGTCTTTGCTCCATAACATTTACCCATGTCCTTTTATTCATACATCTTTTTTTTTGTTTTTTTGGATTATAGTCAAATGCATCAATCAAAACACTGCAAGAAAGGAATTGCAAAAAAGGTCTCCCTCTCTAGTGCTGTTGTGATTATAATAATCACGAGTATGAAAATACTGAGATTAAATGCTCAGGACTTTTATTTAGGAAGTTGGCAAATAGAATACTAACTGGATTTGTGAGCTCAGAATTTGTAGTGAGAGTTGGAAAGTTCTACTAGATATGAAAACAATTTTCACAAAATTGAGAACAACAGAGTAAAAACAAAAAAAAGAAAAAAGAAACAAATTTAGCATACAGTAACTGAGAAGATATATGTGGTAGATTGAAGAGTAATAGTGCTCTTGCGATTAAGTGGATCCAATATCATCAAGATGCAGAAATATTAAAGTTCAAAGTGATTGTAATTCTGCAGCATGCAATCTTAAAATTAACCTGATATTCTGGCATCAAGTCCCAGTAGTCTTCTAACAAATCTTCTAATTTTGGTGATCCTGGTTGAGGACTGACATAAGTGAACATATATGTTGTACGATCCAAAGGGCCAGATCCAGCTGGAAATGCCTGCCGAAAGTACTTAAAAGGTTGACTCTCTAAGGGAAACAAATCTCGAATTAATGATAGCATTCCACTAGATTGTTCCAAACCTCCCAGAAATATTGCACTTTTGAGTCGCCAACCTTCTTCACAGATGAGCTACTATATATGATATCACTGGTAGAGTTATCTATAAAACCACGAGCACAAGATCCAACAACAAGGCAAATGCCATCTGGCTTCCGTCCTCTTCTTATCTGAAAAACATAGAGTTGAGAAACAGTTTCGGCCAAGATTGCAGACATGTACTAGATATATAAGTTGTTATTTGTCTGTGTATCAGTTTTTGAAATGTTTGGAGCTTCTATTTCAATATCTACGAAAAAGCAAACGCACATTTTAATTAAGGGCTTGCCAGCCCCATTTCGTTTACCAGTGACTCAAACATGCAAAAATGAATGAAGTTGTCTATAGTGGAAACGACTGAAAATCAAATGTGCTATAGTACACTAAAACACACATACTTATGTAAAATAGTAAAAACTGTTGCTTGTGGTCCCCTGCATTATTGCAAAGCACACAATAAATATACACAAGAGAATGAGCTGACCTGTTTTACCACAGGAGAAAAGTTCCCCATTGCATCAATGATTAGACGAGATGACAGAATGTTCCCCTCCGCAAGTTGCAACACCTATTGAGATCATTCAAACCATTGATGTTCACTAAAGATAATAAAAATGCTATTCAAATTCAATGTTTCACTTCTCTGTGCAGGCAGTGCACCATTATCGGAAGCATAGTCTTGCATGAACTTAAAGAGAAACCTTTTGGAATGTTGAAAGCTAGACCTCAGGTCTTGTGAAGTACAAAACTCAAATGAAATTTCATCCATGTAATTGCAATGTTTGACATTAAATAATTCAAATGGTCCCTTTCCTTCGGCCTTCTTTAATCATGATTTACGTGTATTCCTCACAGACTTCATTCTATTCTAGTTTTCATTTTTTCAGTCATTCTCACTTTCTCATCTTGTAATACTCATTCCACTAAACATGGCTTCCAATAATGTGTGGTGGAAGTGTCCAATCATGTTGTTGCATAACCAGATAGGCATATTCTTGTTTCATGAAGTTCTCCCACTATTTCAATTGGAGCGCCAGGCCAGAATTCAGCTAACATCAACTCAATTCTAACCCAACTTAACTAAGCCTAAGTCTCAAACCATTTGGAGTAAGCAACACATACCCATCTCTTTCTTGCCATCCTACCAGATTTTATTTCATCAAAATCACTTGTGTCATTATAGTACTTTGCAAGTTTCTATAGACTCACTGATGCATCCTCGTATATAGAAATGCTGGAGACACTGCAGCCTTCAAAGATGACTCCACCAAGGGAAATAAAACGTTTCTTCATAATCTCTATGAGCTTCACAGGTCTGTAAGGATTAAATAGTTATAATCAAAAGGACGTATCAACAATCAAAGAAGCAGGATTGATGTTCCTGTCAAATGACACCATCAAACTTCTTGTTGAGAGAGATTAATCATGCTTCATCACTCATCAGCAAACAATAAAAACAAATAGAGGAGTGAGACTCAAAAGGAAAAAAGGACATTCCAGCTTTTGAAATTTTCAGAAGTCCTTGGTCACTTGCTATGAAAATTACATGAAAATAAGCTAGATAAGCTAAATCATGGCCTAGCTTAGTTTGAAGGAGTAATTACCCTATATTAGATCAGACGTCACTGGGGGATGCCATGATTCACGATAATTTCATGAAAGAGCTTTCACTATTGGTAAAGATAAAATTTTAGCAGCATTTATTGGAAATTTCAATGCATTTCTTGTGCCTACATTCCTTTGATATCTAATGCCACATTATACTCCAGAATTCTCCAACAATAAAAAATTTCTCAGATAGTCTGACATACATTTTAAACCCAACTGTTCATGGAAGGAAATTCATAATATTATAAATTAACATGATATAAACAAGATTAAACTTTTTATTTTGAACTGCCCCAAGGCCTGGTGTAGGTTGATCTTAAAATGAAATCTCACTTACCAACTACGTACAACATATAGTTACCAAAATGAAATGATAACTTACGAAACACCAAGATTAAGAATGTCTTTGACCCAGATTTCGCCCTTATCCTCAAATCCACACCTATTCTGCACATTTAGGAAACTTTAGACAATATAAGTATACCAAAGAGGTGACGTCAGGAAGTGTAGGCAGTTGGATATGGTTTGACAAATCTATGCAACCTGACAGAGACGAGGAACATCTAGACATGATAGTCAAAAAATGGAAGAGTTATAGAACATGCTGGAATTGCAGAAATGAAGGCATAGTTATATATGTGTGCTCATTTTGATTGTGCTTAAAATAAGAAATTTCTGTAGTGATTTGAAGTTTGCAGTGATGATAAATTGGGGAGAAAAGTTGTAGAAATGATGGCATAGGCAGTCATTCTTTTGTACCCATAAATACAGACAGTATTAGAGAAAAAATATAAGCTGATTTATGAGCATCCCAACTGCTGTCCATCATAATAAAAGATCTACTATGATGAGAAGTGGCCATCAGAGCGATACTATCTAGAGATTGCTGGAAAATACAGCTTATAGGCAAAGCCGTCTTCTTAGAAGAATTATCTTTACATATTATTTGTGCTTGTCTCCAACAAATAAAAAAAAGGGAATGCTTTTCGAAAGCACATAGAGTTATAGAAAACAATAACTATGAGGCAAACACGATGCTCACATAAAATGTTTATTTCCAGTCCAGTATTTGGTGCACAACTGAAGGATTGAACTAAGAAATATTATTTGATTTATGAACTTCAAGCACTCACAGGATTAAAATTTACAGCTATAGCTTGTTCAATGTCACCCTCTTCCAGAATTCCAACATCTACAAGCTCCAACAGCTCCTTCCTCGAGAGATTCCATTCTTGCTCCCTCTAACCATTTTGAACAATTTACGTATTAAAAGCAATTTGTTATGCCTTCAGCTGTCTCTATATTGAAAGTTGCAGAACATTAATACCCCTTTTAGTATGTTTCTTTCCACAATGCCTACTTGAAGACCTTTGGCACTCAAGGCTGTGGCTATGAATATTCCCAAAGTACCTCCACAAACTACCACATCAAATTTATCAACCGCTTTGTCAGTGAGATCAGAATGACTTGACACACCTCGAATACTCGAAATGACTTGCTGAGGTTCTTGAGAAACTGCAAATAGATCCGAAGATTGCGAGAATTCAAGGATTTCACTGACATTGAATCATCATTGCAAGTAAGTTGGGTGATTTGTACCAGTTTCAGGGGAACAGATGCTAGACCAAATATGGTCCAACCTCTTTAAGGCTTTATATGAGTATGCGCCGCCAGCACCACCGACTTCACCATCAACAGCAATACTATCCATTATCCTCTACAAAATGGAAAAGGACATGCCAAATTAGAAAGCACAGGATGAATGGTGCAGAAGCTAGAACTGCAGTAGCTTTCAAATATAATTAGGCCTTTTCTTTTAATAGTTTATTTACGTATTATTATTGTAGTAGTTTGGATGGCCAAGATTTAGTTATTTTTAAGGGCCAGGATTTCTTTTACTTAGGGTTTTTTGCTAGCATTTAAGGGCTGCTACTGCTGTAATAAGAAATAACTTTGATATTTTGATAATTTTATAAAGAAGTTGTTCTTTTTTTCTGGCTGCTCAGCCCATACATGATACAAACAGCCTTTGGCTGTGTTACCTATGTTTAGTTATCTTTTGCCTTTTCTTCCTGCTTCAATAAAGCAATTGAAGAATCCAAAAAAATCAAATGGTAATAAGTATTTCAGTGGACTTGAAGTCATAACAGAACTATAAGTACACCATATTCCATTTCTAAAATATAATTCACTACTGAGAGCAAAGCACACTAACAACACGTTTGGAACCAATTACTATCAAAACTGAATTCAATTATAGTGTTGAAATTGAATTCAATTGATAAATAAGTTGGATTCACATGTTTGGAAGAGATGTCCTATTACTGAATTCAATTCATTTTGTTTCCTATATTACCCTCATCTCTTTCATCTGGTTCCTTCAAAAGGTCTGCACCAATAACCCACAAAATTAAATCCAAATACCCGTCCCTAAGGCCCTATTTTCTCAAGGCTACACAAGCTACAAAATTGAGGATAAATGATATGAGCTGAGGTGGGATGAGAGAGGAAGAGAAGAGTATTTGGTGTATTTTTTTTTTTTTTTTCTTTTTGGTTGTGTATGCTTATTGTTGACAAGGAGAGGAGTGAAAAAAAGAAAGATAGATGGGTATTTTGGAAAAGCTAATTTTTAACATTAACTTCTCTTCTTTACTGTAGCAATCAGAGGGGTTGGCCTCTGATTTACTTTTGTATTATTTTCAGAGATTGAATTCCATTTGGAATTCAAAATGGTTTGAAATATGAGATTTCATTAAAACCTCTTAATTGAATTCAATTTTGAGGTTCCAAACAGCTACCAACTTGAAAAGAAGAAGGATTCTTCATATTGCTTTAAAAGAAGTTAATCTTAATTCCAAACCAGCAACAGCCTAAACTATAGACTTGATCAGAATTCTATTCATTTTTAATCTCAACGTGACCGATCACTAGCACTGTTACTATGTTGCAAACTTGCGATTAGATGACTAAGTGCACCTCCCGGCAGAGTGCAGAAATAATAAGATTGTTACATTTATCAATTAAACTATAAAGCATTTCTACTGCATTACAAAAACCTCCACAGAATTCTCGTAAGTAGAAAGACAGAGTAAAATCAATGTGCAAAGAAATAGCTATTTTCTCCATTACTAAACAGTCAATAAGAAAATCAAATTACAACACCAACTTAGATACATGTAGCCCAGAATCAATTACAAACAGAAAAGCATTTACTAAAAAGTATAACCCTTTTCCATTCATCAAAAAGAATGAACCAATCTTTATGGGAAAAAAAGAAAAAAAAAGAAAAGAAAAAACTGACCTGTGTTCTAGAGTGAAGGGCTTGTGCTTGCAAGGACATGCTCCTTTGAACCCTCTCCTTTCTTCTCTTAATCAAAGGGCTCAGCTTTGGGTACTGACAAAGTACCCCATTACACTGTCCAAGCTGAACCATCACCATATTGAGTTGAGCTCAAACTCTAAACTGAATTTCTACCTCCTTCTCCAATCAAGTTATCATCAAATCTCTAACATTACCAACTTATCAAAGTTCAAGTGTAAGAGAACCGGACACGTTCGGCGACCGAGGATCCTCTCTCTCCTTTATCCTAATTAATTTGATAGAAGTGGAAATAAAAGCGGTAACCGAGAGACCCGGTGCCCAGTAAAGCCTGAGTCACGGGTGACATTTAAAAGCTCACCTACATGTGACCCTACCCAATTGTGAAAAGATAAACCTCTTAACTCTATCAGGGTTTTAGGAAAGACTCCAACTTTTCCCTTCTTCTCCTTTCGCTCTGCAAACTTTCATAATTATCAGGTCAGACCTCTCAAATTATGATTAATCCTATCTATTCTCTGTTTTATGTTTGTGATTTTCAAATGTTAGCTATCAGCTATCTTTCTTCTCGATCTTTTCTATCAGCTTTCTGTTTGGTTTCTGAGAAAATGAAGTAGAATATTTGAAGCGTTGCACTTTTTCATGAAAAATCTTGAAATGAATGAGAGTTTTTTGTTTTACTGTGGGTTAAAAAATTATCAAGAGTTTAGGTTATTGTCGTTGGTTAATTCCACGCATATGCTATCCCTATTTTTGATGTTTTTGTCAGCTTGAACTTCGTGCTTTCCCTACTTGTATTTGTTCTATTGGTGAAATTGAACTCCACATGGCTGCGAATTTAAATTAAGATTTAGCATACCAATTATATGCGAAATGTGAAATTTTTGCTACGTTAAAAAATTTAGTTGAAGTCCCTACTACTTCCCAATCTTAGATTCCGTGAGGAATGCAAACTAAAGTGAAGGTTTCATTTATGATCCAAAGCTTATGACGCAACAATCTTAGCAAAAAATGAAAAGGATATGGAAACAAATTTCTGGAAATATGAAGAACTGGTGATATAAGGTGCATGGAACTTGGATGATATTTATCCACTCATTCTCAAAGAATTTGCGCTTGAAAAAATTCCTTCAAAAAAAAATTGGTGTATTTTAGGTTTGCTTTATCTTGGGGAACTCATATTTTTGTACAACTGTTTAGTTTTATTGTGTTGAAGTAATTTCAGTGTTTTGAATCTGCTATTCAATTTGTTTTTGCTAAATTATATGTTTTGAACTTGTTAGTCATTCGACACAACTTTAGCCATCTTGAGAAGACGAGCAAGGCAGAAGCTGTATGTCTCTATGGCAAGCACGATCACATCCCCAACCTTTGGTTTCTTCTCTGTCAGCAGAAGCAGCAGAGATTGTAAAATTTCGAAAAATACTATCCCGCATTGTCAAGGTATAAAGGCGATGCACATTGAGAAGCCTCTTGAGGAACTGTACAACGTAAGGGTGGAAAGGAAAGTGTCACAAAAGCGACTGGCAGAGCTTGGGGTTTCAAAATGGTCAGTGTGGAAGACTGGCAAGTGCAAATTGCCTTGGGAATGGCAGGTGGACCAGTTAGTTTACATTGAGGAAGGAGAGGTGAGGGTAGTGCCTGAAGGGAGCCAGAAATACATGCGATTTGTCGCCGGAGACCTTGTTCGCTACCCAAAGTGGTTTGAGGCTGACCTCTTCTTCAATGCTCCATACCAAGAGCGATATAGTTTCCGAGCTTATGGTGATGACTGCTAATCCTCTGCTGTGTACTTCATTAAGGGATGCCATTACTTTTTTCTTTGTGTTGGCTTTTATTCGAAGGCGTCCATTTTAGAATTGAAATATACACTCAAATATCTGCAATTTGGACTGGTACTTTAGAATGATCAAAATATCATTTTATAATTTTTGAGTGATAAAACTCCCTAAGACTGGTCCGGATATTATCTACTGATATTTTGCGACTGCGGTTATCAGTGGATCCAGCCATAAGGATTTAGAGATCCTAAATCTATTGTCGTGAACCACTTTCATATGGGATCAATACGCTTTGACTTCAATCATGAAGGCGATGAGCTTTCAGAAGAAAAGAAACAGAACGCTTTTTAGATGCTAAGCAGATACTGAGAACAGGTATTTGGTCAGCTGCGCTGGTGTAACAGCCACCACCAGAATCTAATCGATGGCCACCATAAAACCCCATGATCTTTACCACAAATCGTTCAACCAAGGGCAAGTTCATTAATTACACCTACCATGCTGACCATTATAAAGTAATTTCAAGTTGTCCATGGAGAACTTTGGGATACACCCCCTACAAAAGCTTTTCAAGCATTAATGCTATATCTTGAAATAGTTCGTCCAGTGTTGAAGAAACTACGTCTGAGAATCATGCTGGAGACTACAATTTCCTCAAAGACAGACAGCACCTGCCAGAAAATTCCTAGCAATAAATTTTGCCACTCCCCACAGACTATTGCTGGTTTGCAAACACCCATCAAAAGTGTTGACGTGAGGATTGTGCTAAGGCTCCAAAATGGCAATCAGCGAGCCATTTAAGGAAGATAACGATGTTTTGGCTTTAAAAAGTAGCAGTTTAAAGAACTAATAATGTTCAGAAAGTCACCAAAGTCGAAGCATAGAAGGAACAATCTTCTTTGCATCATTACAGAAAATAAATTTTATCAAGGTAGGTAATCCGAAGAAGCACTACCTCTACGAATCAAATCCTTTATAATACACACACTTACAATTTCATTGATGAAGAGAAGAAAAAAGGAGTGAGCGAAGAACCCAAAAAGTGAGTAAACTCAGTGCCTAAACACTGAACCTCCACTTCCCGCATAGATGAGATATGGACTTGTGAGAGAGCGCCATGGGAAGTGAGGCCGAACAATTCCTACAGAGCACCGAGGAGGTCACACCTTATATTCTTCATGAGGGTAAACTCATACTTTACACCAGTCAAGGGTCTCAACCACCTGCAGTGGCCCGAGGACTTGTTCCAGTGGTAATAGCAACAGACGAGACAAACCTTGAGACAAGCACAGCCTCATTGCTTACAGCCTTAGAGGTTGCCACATCTTCCAAGCGCTTCCAAGTTAATTCTCTTTTCTCCCGTCTCTCCATCTGTTTGAGTTCATCTTCTTCGAATTTGACCAAGCACTCATCAAAAAGTTCTTGATCGGCATCTGAGAATATCTTCCTAACATTCAGGGTCAGACTCTGAACAGCTTGGTTCCAATGCCCCCTTGTGTTTCTCTCCAAAGCTGGGAAGATTATAGGCAGTATCACTCTGCGATTCTGTGTGATCAAATTTCTTATGTGATCATTGTTCCACAAAAACAATGCACGTTCTGCAACCTGCCAAAAAACCAGATTAAGATCATCCATATGAGCAACCCAAACTCCAAATTCAAATCGAAGCAAAATTTTGGTTAAATAGCAGGCAGATAATATGCAAGTCCATGTGATTCTATCAAGTAGTATAGCTTTCACCAAGCCAGTATAAGCTCTGAAGTGAAATATCTACCATGATGGATGTGAGGCTCACTGCACACACATTGCAGTCTCACTCCAGCATCCTTCATGCTTTTGATACTAGTCCTCCATAGAATCTACACATATGCAGATTTGAAAACTGAAAGTACGCTCATTCAGCTTAAACTTTAGCAGCAAATACATGCATTCTCTTGAACTTTCAAATAATTGTTATCATGAACAAAGAGAGATCATGGTAAAACCACGAGTAGCATGCACTTCCAAAGAAAAAACCAGGTAGTAGCAGCTGAATCCTCAAATAAGGCTACAGGTAAAAAGCATATTCACAGCATAAAAACACTCTTTACATCCTTTACTACCATATAAATGCTGAACTTTCAGCATCTAGACATTCCACTTATTTTCAACAAGTCCAACGGCTTTACTTCCCAACCATTGTCCTACCTGGAAACATAAAATTACAGTGGGTGTACAGCACAATGCATGGCTGTGATCATAATGACAATGCAGATGTATAGAAATGAATTGTCGCTTGTAGCTTGTTGAAAATGATTTTAGCCTCTCATTAAGTGTCAAAATTATCTATTAGTGCTGATAAGATGACTTTTTAATTGAGGGGTTTTGACAAGAAAAAAGTGAGGTAAAAGAATTTTACAAGGCCATGTGAGCAGTTCCATGCAAAAGCATCTAGAAGGCAGGTGCACCACCTAAGCTTAGCCTTTTTACTAGGATTGCTGCTATAGGAAAGAATCCTTATGTTGATAGCATAATCAAAAGGAAACATGCTACTATTGAGTGGTCATGTGTGAAAGAGATGTGAGGAGATGATAGAGTATCTGGTGCATAATGAATAAAGGCAGCAATGTAAATTAATATTTGATTATCTATAAATTTTAAAGTTGTATGATCATTCTAGTATTATTTAGAAATATTAGTGTTTATTATTTAGTAGTTAAAATTCCTAAATAATCAAATATTAAAATTACGCCTTCTGCAGTAGCTAAAGAGTTATGGTTGCGAGCTTTTTCTTAGGGTTGGATTTGTTGAATCATGTCTAAATCAGGGACACAAGTTCTAAGGCATGGCAGGGGACTAAAGGGACACTTAGGAAAGATGAGAAGTGGAGAGCTATTGTGTTGTTGATTTTGTGGACCATCTGGTGTGAACAAAATGTCACCCTTATGGAGTAGAACTTCCATCATAAAGACATCAGCTCCAGTTGTAAGGTACTTGTGCAGATGGATGTCTCCTTCATGCTACCTACTTTTTTTCATTTTCATGGGAAGTACGTTTGGAATTCTCAAGTAGCCTTATAATTCCCTTTGATTTTATGGGTTATCTTATATACTTCCAATGGAGTTCGGTGCACCCCCAACACTTTATCTCAGAGAAAAACCATAGCACTTTACTCAGCCTTCTCGAATTGGATATCAAATAGCACATTAAATAGATCAATGGCAGAGTTTTGAAAGAGCATATTGGAAGGTTCTTTCTGATATTGAATACTTAGTTTCACAAATAGTGGATATCTGTCATGGAAGATGCATAATAAGAAAAATCTGGCAAATGACATGAAAACTAATGCTAATTCTGACCAGATCCCTTTATGTTTGCATATTGTTTGCACATTTTAATTCTTTACTACACGGAGATTCCATGAACACACAAAGCTGTTAATAAAATTGCATGTCTTTGTTGAAACCAAGACAGATGTCCACACCTCTCATCATCAATATCATATACCCAACTTTGACAATTCAGTGCAGAAAAATGACAGCAACCCAGTAAGCCCATAATGCAGAAAAGCACAAATCTTCAACAAATTACTAATTACGGAATGATCACAAAGATATCATACTCTCAATTTTACATACACAAGTAAAAAGATGGTGCACATAACTAGGTGATAAAATAAATGTGCAACTATCCAATTTGGAATTCATATATCCTCGTGAAAATAATTAAAGTTCACCTAAAGTAAGATGGCAAAAAGAAAATAATAATAATAATAATAATTAAAGGGGTTTGAGTTGCAATGAAATTGAAGTGCCAGAAAGAATGATCAGTAATTAAATGGTACAAATATAATGTCAATGATGAGGCGATAAATGCACTTACTAAGCAGCAGAAACAACGAAGCAATAAAAGCTAAAAAATGCTTTATATTTTATCAAAACACACAAACACATAAATAATAACTATTCTTAATCCAGTACCTGAAAATGTGAGCTGTTGAGGCAGCGTCCAATTTGACGGAATAAAGGGACCATGCACCGCTGAAACTCTGCTGCCTGAGTGGCCTCTAAAACTTCCTCCAACTCTCCAAGAAACATAACTTCCTTGGAACTATTCGTTATGGGCCAATACTTTAAGAGACCTCGAATTACAGTATCAGCCAGCTTGAAATCTTTCTCCACGAATTGAGTGATACAATATGACAGTTGCTGGTGATACATCGATACACACTTGGGCTTGTGAAGTGGAATTAAGGCACGGACAAGGAACAGCTTGTGCTCTTCCTTCAATGGCAAAGCAAACCCATTAATAATGCTGCCCAATATCTCAAGCATTTCTGCAATCCCGTTATACTTCTCTGTCTCGAAAATGAATCTGTAAAAGATATTGTTGATAGCTTTCCTAATGAATGGTCGATGTACCATGAACTTTCCGTAAATGCGGTGCAGTATTGTCTTCAAATACTCCCTCTCTCTTTGGTCCTCGGAATCAAATAAGTCCAGCAATCTCAACACAAATGAATGGTCAACGTATCTCTTGGCAAGCTTGGCATCAGTCTCGGTCGAAGCCACAAATCTAAGCAGAAACTCATACACAATCTGAAGATGAGGCCAAGCCGGCTCCATAGCTGGCTCTTCATCTTCAGGGTCAAACATTTCTAGAATCTTGTTATCATAGTTCGTAGATGGAAGTGTTCTGAACAAATTGACTGCCACCATCTTTGTAATTTCTTGCATTGCCATCTCATTGAACTTTGAAGTCACAGTCGAAATATAATCAACAAGCTCAAGCAAAGTCTGCCTCTTAATGTCCTTCTCTTTAAGATTCTTAGAGGGATCACTAAAATCAAACACAACACAACACATGTTCAACTTCTTAATAAAGAGATTCTGCTTTTCCGAATTAGCAACATCACGAAAGCTAGGCAATGCCTCATAAACCCCAGAAGCCATCACGGGACCCACTTGGGGAGCTGACTTTTTCCCTTGATTCACCTTGCTATTTGGTGCCTGGCTCCCACTGTTCAAGCGTGAAGGGCCAGAGCTCGGATTTGAAGATTTGGACGAATTAGAAGAGGGTTTTGAGTTGTTAATGGAATTAGCTCCATGTGATGAGTTCAAAGACGAGTGGGCATTGAATCCACCATCATTGTTTAGGTCGTTACTCGATGATTTTGAGGGTTTTCGAGGTAGCTTACCCAATATCTGTTTGATCATATCTGCTGCTAAACCAAAACCCAAACCCTAACCCTAATCTATTCACACGAAATAAAAAACAAAGTTTCCACCTTTCAAACACCTCAAAATCAAGACATTTTTCACAGCTAGGCAACAGAAGCCTAATCAAATTCGTGCATTCAAAAAACAAAAAACAAACGAGGCTGTAAAATTCAAAATCCTGCCTCAGAATTCATGGACAAAGGAGGCAAAAAAAACCACTTGAGGAATTGCCTAATTTCATACAGAGAGGAAGAAAATTACTTACATTGATGACATGAATAGAGAGATCTGAGAAAACCCTAGAAATATGACCTGAGATTGACAAAACCCACAATTTGATTTGAGAAAGGGAAAGGGGGAAACAAACAACAAGAACAAGGTTATCAAAACAAAAAAGTCAAATTAAAAATTCATAAGAGAAAAAAATAGGAAAAAACGGTAGTTGCATTTACAAATATAGTCAAGATAAAGATTAGATTCTCTCTCTCTCCCTCCCTCTCTCTCTCTCTCTCTCTCTGCTTTGTGTGCTAAGTTTAGGGAAAGGGAAATTTTAGAGAGCACAAAAACTAAAACATAGGAAATTGGAACTCAGGACTGAACTGTTTTTTTTTTCCTTCCGGATTTTGTCTTTGTATTTTTGTCAGGGCAAAACGATAGAATTTAAATTACTTTTAGGTCCTCTGTGTTTTTTTTTTTTAATTATTTATTTTCGGTGGATTTATTTATATACCAGTGATTATGTTGCAAATGGACCCAGTATCATCACATATTTTGTACAGGTGGGTGGGGATGGAAATGGGCCCCATTATCTAATGTCTGTGGATTGGGTTGACTTGCTCAATGGACTAATTTCTCCTCCCATCTAAGTCATCACATAAATACCTAAGATATTTATTTGTTGGACCTCTTTTTTTTTTTTTTGGATTAAATCAATCCACATTGTCTTTATCTTTTGAATGGGTATTGTTGAATTCCTTACGTTTTTTTTAGAAAAAAATTATTATCTATTATAAAAAAAATGATAACAATAATATAATTGAATAGAAAAATGATAGAGAAATGATTTTATTATTAAATAAAGTGAATACAAGTGATAAAAAGCTTAAATAATTCTTTCAATTTTAAAAAAAACACGCATATACAAACTAATGAATAATCAAAACTATTTATAGGTTTCAAAATCGAAAGAAAATTAAAATGGACTATAAACCATTAAAAAGTATATAAATAATTGAATCAAGTAACTATCATAAATCCTTTTTTGAATTTCTTTATAAAAATACATAAATAAATAGAGTTATTTTTATAAAATTCTTTCAACAAATATTCATTGAGGTGATTATTTCACATACATACGGATCAATAAGAAAGAGTAGATATTGAAAAAAATATATATATATATAACATAAATTGAATTTCTAAAAACTAAAATAATAAAAAAAATACTAAAACAATCCTTATAGAGATCTCTACAATTTAATTTAATTTATTTTTTGAAAATATGTATTACATGTTTCACGCATCTTAAGTCCTTCGACAATTTTCATATAAATATCATTTCAAGTAAAAAAATAATTTGTGATCACATCTATTAAATGCATATATATGAAATTTTTTATATATTTTATTAGGCTAACGAGATAACGAAATGTAATTCAATCTATTACGGGAGAATATAAATGTCATGTCTTTGTGAAAACTCTTGTGTTATAAGTCTTGCTTTGTATATTATAATCTCATCTTTCTTATTTCGTTTTCACACGGATACTCATTTATATTCTATTAACTTAACATCTTTAGGTGTTTGATTATAGGTTAAAAAACTATTCATTTGTAAGAGAATATAATTCTACCTCAATTGCTCTTTTCACTTAAATCGATCATCTTCATGTCGACATTTTTCAATAAATTTAGGTTCAAGATCTCTATTTACATTCAAAATATTAATTACAATATTATATGTAAAAATGATATTAATAAATATTTTTTCAATCTTATTTTTTCCTGTATTGACATAATTTATCAAAGTCTCTTAATTTGCTTAAGCATTTGGACTTTTTCTAGAAACCTATTATAAAAAATAACTTGAATTATTTTTGAGAATATCTCGTTTCTTTGATATTTTTATCTTGATTATTTGCTCTTTTCCTTCGGAGATTTTTTCTTTAGAATCAATCGGTGTTTCACGCTTCGGGCATGTTTTAGATTCATTTGTTATAACTTTAATGATTATCCTTCTTAGGACATCAATTATAATAAAAGCATTCTCAACGAGGGCAAGCTTTTAGTTTTTTTTATTTTTATTTGAGAATACATCTAGCAGTTGGTTTGTAAGATTTTATAAATAAATTATCTTCTAAACTTCTAGTTCATATTATGTTGTACGAAGATCAAGAAGATATAAAGATAGAGTTCTCCATATAATCTATTTTTCTAACATTTTCAACTTCTTATTTTGCTTATTCTCTCATCCTAATGTTGAAAAAAAATTTCATCGAAGGATAGTTGGTAAATCGAGTCGTAAAAAATCTCATAGTCATGTTCAAGATATTTAATTATCGAAGAAGATTCAAATCTAACGTATGTTCCCAATCTCTTTTAAGCGCCCATTTTAGTTCGCAGAGGAGCTCTAAGGATACATACTGCGAGTAAAAAAAAATTTAGATGAGAAACATTTGGTTCATGACCAGAGAGACCAATTAAAAGAAGGAGAATTTTTGATAACTTGTGGGTTTGATGTGAATAAGTGTTGTTGCATATAAGATTGTATGTTCTCAAATATAAACAAAGAGTTTTGTTTTCAAAAGTCATGGTTTAGCTATCAATTTGAGTTTTTTAATAAATAATTTCGCTAAATCTTTTTTAGTATGAACATGAGTAATAGGTTGTTCAACATTTATTCTAATAGCCAATCAATAATTATTCAATGCACGAGAGATAAATTCACCGAGCATTATCAAGACAAATTTTTTTAATGACATAATATGAAAATTATGCTCGTCATCGAATTATTTGAGCTAGCAACCTAAAAAATGTCGGGTTTCAAGTAGATAATAAGAACACATGTGACCATCTTATGGATGCATCTATTAAAATCATAAAATAGTTAAATGATCCACATGATTGATGAATTGATCCACATATATCACCTTGAATATATTATAAAAATACCGGAGATTCGATCTTAATTTTACTTTGTAGTGTCTTAATAATCGGTTTGCCACGAAAACAAGCAAAACATAAAAATTCATTAGATTGAAAAATTGTTTGGTTCTTCGATAGATGCTCATATGAATTTTTAATAATTTTCACATTATGAAAGACTTATGATAGCCCAATTGGTCATGTGACATAAAAAAATTATTTGAATTAGTAAATTTTTGATTTATTATAATATTTGTTTTAATCGTTCAAGTATTTGTAATAAAAAACGAAGAGAAAGTGAGTAATTTCTCCAATACGTATTTTCTACACGATGTAATAATTATAATATATAAGTATTCAATATTTTTCACATTTGTTGTTTTTATATGATATCCATTTAGACGAATATTTTTAAAACTCAAAAAGTTTATATGAGACTTTAGAGAGCATAGTACATCATTTATAATAAAATTTATCCTTTTAGGTAATAATACATTTGCCTTTCTTGAGCCTTTGAAGTTTGTTATTTCAAGTAATGATATATTCGCTTTTCTAGAGGTTTTAAAACTTATGTCTTTAAGTAATAATATATTAGTTATTATAGAGCCTTTAAAATTTGTCTCTTTAGGTAATAATATGTTAGTTATACTAGAGCCTTCAAAATTTATCTCTTTAGGTAATAATATATTTTTTATTTTAGGTTTTTACGAGTTTATATTTTTAGGAAATAATATTGTCATTCTTCTAGATCTTTTAAAATTTCTCTCTTCAAATAATAGTATATTCGCTTTTACGAAACTTTATATTAGATTGATACTATCGGTTATAATATTAACTCAAAATAAATAATTAAATAAACATAAATAAATTAATATATTCTTCATAAAAATATATAATATAAATAATAATTTTATAGCTATCACTATGAATAGAAATTATAAGAAAATATAAAACATCTTATTTATAAATAAAAAAGATAACAAATTATTAATTTCAATTACTATTATTTTGATATATAAAATTAGCCTCTATATTTTTTTATTATTTTTTTTCAATGAGTCTTGATAAGGTTTATTGAAGGGTGCTTTGGCGTACGACAGTGTACACAACTAATATCCCTTCGTGCCACATTTATAACATATATTTATAGAATGCTACCTAGATTCATTTTTATTCATTTTTTTGCTTATTTTTATAGTTTATCCATTTCCGTTGATGAAATGTATTAGTACGATCATCATGATTATAAAAACAATTATTCCAACCACGACTATAGCTATAGCCATGTCCATAGCCATGACCACATCATCGTCCAAGCCCGAATCGTTACGAATTATGACATTCACTACGGAAATGAAGTATACCCAGTTAGACGAGATTCATGATTTTTCATCAATAGCTCGTTATTTTGTTTAGCCATAAACAAACATGAAATCAATTTAGAATATTTCTTAAAAAAAATTTTCTCGATGTTGTTGTTGAGGAGCATATTCGAGGCATGAAAAGCGAGAGAATATTTTCTCGGCATCAAGCACTCATGATCAATAATTCTTGCCTAGAATGTCAAGGGTCATAAAATCAAGATTTGTGAGGTTTAATATGATCAAAATTCTATAATGTAAGATATAATAATTAATATAAAACATAATAATAAAATTTAAACTTTTCAAACAACATACATTAGATCATTAGATTCTATATATTAAATCATTTAAAATTTTCAAATGTATACTCTTGTATCATTAGATTTAAAATACATAACCAATTACATACATACATTTTAATGATCTAGATAATTCAGATCTTTTGATAGAATACTCGTGTTGAAAAATAATCCAATGATTAAAATAAATAATCGAATCTTTGGTAGGTACATACTTTATGGTCGACTATTATCTAAATTAGTTAGAGATTCATGTTGATAATATGTTATAAAAGAAATAGTAACAATAATAGAATTAGAGAGAAAAAATGATGGAGAAATAATTTTATCGTAAAATAAAGTGAATACATGTGATAAAAATTTTAAATAATTCTTTCAATCTCTACAAAACACATCTACTCAAATCAATGAACAATCAAGTTTATTTATAGGCATTAAAATTAAGAAGAGAATTAGAAAGGATTATGAATCATTCAAACGTGCATAAATAATTGAATCAATTGCATCATTTTTTCAATTTCTCATATTGAATGGTGAATAAAATCACATTAAAAATAATGAGTAATAAAAATGTGAAATGATCATAGACATTCATTATTTTATAACATTATCTTTTTAGTTTTACTTAATTGACCCACGAGTTAACATTTTCATTAAATCTTCCCCCTTTTTTTTATCTTCAAAGGACTTTTTTTTTTTTGTAATTAGTAGTACATTTTTGTTATTCTTGTTTAAGTGGAGTTTATTTCTTTCCTAATATTGCAAATGCAAAATTGGATTTCATGCTAATTTTCTTGATATTTGTTATAGGAATTTAAGATTCAATTTTAATTTTAAATGATAAAAAAATATTATTTTATTTTCTTCTCTCTCTCTCTTTCCAGGTCCTTCTTTAACTCAAGATCTCACCCTTTTTCTTGTTCTGTAAACAAATCAAATGGTCATGGTTTTTTTTTTCTTTTCTTTTTAATAAATATTTTTTCATTATTATCTCACGCTATAATCAATAATCATTGCACTGAAAAAAAAAAAAAAAGACTTTATTAGATATTTATCAGTCATATTTTAGAATATACGTACGTACGTACGCCAATTTGAATATCATTAATTTGGTGATTGGGTATGTCTCCCCAATATTATTGTTTCTTCAGGTTTTAGCTATGAAAGCTTAAGCTTTTAGCCCTTACGGTATGTCGATAAGGCTGGGAAATAATTTTGCACCAAATTAATTAATAGTTATGTAGGTAACTAAAATGGAAGATTTTACTATATATGGCTATATTTTTTCTGTTGTATATTCCTAACTATTTTCACTAAAATAAATTTGAATTTAAATTATTTAAATTTATTTAATTAATATCTAATATTCGGATAATGTAGTTTAAAAACACACCAAACCTTTCAATAAACTAAAGCCTGTATTACAATATATATGTATTACAATAGCTTTTTTCTAAACAATAAATTAAGTACAACCAAACAGTGAGTATGAAGAAAAAATCCCACTTTTCTTGCTGCCAAATATTGCTACTGTCCGAATTTGTCAAAGTATTTCTCAAAATTAATTATGGAAATTTGATCCTTCAACTTCAAAAGTTTTATAATTTGACTCAATTCCTCATGGCCGATTGATAATCTTTATTTTGAATGTCAACATTTTCACATGGATTTTTTTTCTATCTATCTATATATATATATATATATCACGTTAAAGAAAGTAACAAGTAAATTAGCAGAGAGTTAAAAAGACAAGTAATTTGTGTTGCAAATAGTTAGGAGCTTAAATATCTCTAATTAATGGTACAAATCAACTAAAAAATTTAAACATCCTCCCTAATTTGTTTAACGTAAATAAATTAATATGATTACAACTTGTGGTCTAATCAAGCAAGAAAAAAATGAGCCAACTTCTTACCAGGTTGAACTTGAGAATCTGCAGTAAGGCCGAGTTTATCTTTTTTAAGATTCAATCCTTTGGCATCAACCAACTTAACATTGGGTAAGCTAATTGCTAGTTGATTATTTCGAATATCTTCTGTAAATTTGCCTTCTCCTGATGCCAATGCCATCTGCAATAATAGGAGAGTCTATAAGCAGATCACAGACACCATCTTGCATTTTCTTCACACATATTTAGCAATGATAAAACTAAAAGATCTGCATAAAGATCAATTGAGGAAATGGATTGACAATAGATATGGAAAATGGAAAGGAGATGTACCTGTATTATTAATAGTGATGGCATATTCAAGTGATCACGCAAATCCGCAAAGAACTTCTCTATACTGTTCTTGAACCTATCGACATCCTCCTGGAAAACGGTATCTTTCTCTCCTTGTTACCGTAGAAGTGCTCGAATCCTACCTCGTTCCTGCAATGACTCTTTTGCTCGTATTACCATCTCTTTATAGAAATACGTTCCACTTTCCCAATTAACTGTATGACTGTTACTTCTTGCACAAGGTACTAGACCTATGAGTCCAGATCCTGAACCATTTGCTAGGATCTCATGGGCAAATGCTATTCCTGGTCCAACCCCCCAGGGACCATCTGTGTCAATGCCAGCATGGAGTGGCTCGCCGGCTTCTTTCCATCCTTGTTCAGGAGTGAGTGCAAGGACTTTTGGGTTAGGTCTGACCTCGGGGGTTGATGACCGTCCCATTTCCCATTCTCGGTGCCACCCTGACCTGCCATATTAGAGCCACCTCCTAGAAGGAAGATGTCCTTATTGAGACTGGCACTGAATCCATATGGGCTATAAGCATCAAAAAGAAACATCATAGCAAACAAGAGTACATTTCTTTTTGTAGCGTAGATTTGACTGGGTATGTTTATGCACTTAAAAGACCTCCATAAGTGTGTGTGTGTGCATAATAGATTGTGCTGATGAGTCCATGAATGCACACATATATATGGGTGTTTTATTTTTATGAAGAATATTGTAGTTGTGAATGTTAAAATGCCCATTGAGAATCCTTGGCTATATTTTCTTCTATGGAAAATGAGGTGTTATAGGACAAAAAAATAAAAAAAATTAAAGTTTCCATTTTGGAAAACTATAAACATTGTCATTTGTTGGTTAGATTTATTGTTAACAAGTCTACAACATGACATTCCATTTACATCGATAAATAACATGCGTCTTTAAGACAGACAAGACACACACATATATAAAAAAATCCATTTGACTGTTGGTGTATATATGTCCATATGTGCATGGGTTCTTTTCTAAATTTGCAAGAAATCTTAGTCTGATAACCTTAAATTGGTTGCATAAGGATGTAGGCCCCAAAGAGGGAAAAAAAAGTGATCACCGCTATCGGCCCGCTACTTAAGGATGTGTTTGTCGAGGGGGGTTAATCCAAGGATGGATGAGGGGAAAGGGATGAGAAGAAGGATGAAGCGTTTCCTTTATTTGCTAGCTGGAATGGGATCATACAAGGAAGGATTGAAAAGATCCCTCATGTTTTTCCTCGCTTGCAATTTTCAGTCCTCTTAATTTGATTGGATATTAACTTTTATCCTTCTTTTTTCTTTTCTTAACCGATCGAACTACTAGATAGATAAAGTTAATATAAACCCTTTTTCCTTCCATCCTTTCATTTTACCTTATTCATCCTCCTCCAAATTCATCCTTTCTGATAAACATGTCCTTAGTATAACTATATTAATGAAACGATAATTGTATCATCATATGTGTGTGCGACATGCGTACTTTTATACAATAACTTTTTGAGCGACATAACATTAAAGATGTACATGTTAATGAAGATGATAGATTAGTCTTGCAACTTATTTTATGAATTCTAATTATTTTCTTGATCACCATTTTTTTTTTTTTGTTAATTAAACCTCTTCTGTTAAATTTTAGAACAATCCAGCCCTTTGACTTCCATTTTGTAATTTATTATGACAACAGCTGGTATAACTACTGAACATCGACCAGTCAATATTTAACTGCCTATCAAATTCACAACACACTAATAAACCCAACTTGTTTTCCAGTCGCTACTAAAGTCCCCGTCAAGTTTTAATTAAAAAAGATCGGTTTGTCAAAGTTCATTACTCATAGGCATGAGGAGAAAAAGAAAAAAAAATAGTTTCAAAAGAAAAGCAGAAAAGAAAAAAGAGACTATCAAAGAGTTGCTTCCTAATTTTCTGTTTGCTTCTCCATGGTTGGTTTGTCTGGATTTTCAGGAAGAATTTATGCCAGAGAGAGCCGCATCATGCAATGTAGGAAGGCAGTAAGGTCAACAAAATTAACGAAACGTTAATTACTACATGGGATGAGAATGGGACCATGAAAATGAAAAACAACAATTGATGTCAAAAGTGATTAAAAGCTGCCCAGAATCTGAAAAAACGACGATGTACACAGGAGAGTGAAATATCCAAGATTCTTGTCCTCCGTTTACAGCTCCTTCACGAATTGCCGATTTTATTTTGTGAAGGAAATTCCACTTTCTGTATTTCCACTTTTGTCCTAAAAAAAACACACAGTTTTGTAGTTCTTTCTGAAGTGATATTAAAACTATATGTACTAATAAGCATCAAATTGTAGAAAGTTTTGGAAATAGCATCAGAATTTTCCTTGATGAATCTAACTTTCTAAACATACAAGCTTTCTCAATAAACAGTTTATGAAATATTTTCCAGCTGATTATATATACTCTCCCCTTTTTTCTTGGCTTGTTGAAAGCTATTAGGTATTTCACCTCATCACCAACGACGAAGTTCTTGCGTCCAAAAGTATGCAGAACATATAATTCAAAATTAGACAATATCTTCTACAGAACCTATGAAAAGAACAATACACCCTCTTGTGATTTGCATCAACCAGGAGATCCAAAGCTCTTGCTCGGCTCCAATCTTATCTAATTTTATCTCCCCTTTCTTATTAAAAGAAAAGGAACAAAGAACAACAAAGCTAACATGATAGAGTTGCAGAATATCACAAGAAAATCTAAAGCGTTCTCTAAATTCTCAGTTCACTGTCGTTGTAAGTACTCACCTTTCTTTTTTTTTTTGCTGGAGACTCACAAGGACATCAATGATCACAAAATCATCTCCCAAGTTCACTCACACATACAAACAATGGAACATGATAATTAATAAAAGCCTCTCATTTGTGCAAGCACAGTATCTTCTCTGCACTGTACAATTCCTTAACATAACAACAACAGGGTCGACAATGATGGTGGAGCTAATGCAAGAACATTTACTAACCCTTTGCTATGCAGCACAATTTCAGTCACCTCTTCCTGCGTTTAGTCTCCACCTAAAAAAATTATCAAAAACAAGTACATCAGAAAAAAAGGAAAACAGTAAGCAGATTCAGCAAATTGCTTTTAATGAGTGACCTAAGACAACCAAACCAGTGAAACAAATTGCTAATGACCAAAGATATTCAACAAAACAAAATAGCTTTTAATTAAGTTGTGTCGTTTCCTTTTCACCTGAACTTTGAGAAGTCACATACTTAAAGCCTTTAAACATCTATTTCGTTATGGCAGTTTTTCCGGGATAGTTTCATCATTTCAAATAATCCATCCCATGTAACAAATGTTCGTCGAAAATATGAATTTCAAAAAGAGCACCATTTTTCCTTCAAAAAACTTCCTTTTCATGAATCAGAATACCATAAAATACAGAGGAACTCATATATCCTTGATTATTTACTTCCATAGTCCACTTTCTAGGTAGCCATTCACGATATCCTAACAGATCTTATTTCACTGCAGCCAAAAAAAAAAAAAAAAAAAAAACCAGCAAGCCAGACCTGCTAATTCTCACTCTCTAAAAAACTAGTATTCTTTGATCAACATTAACCAAGAATGTATTGTTTTTTTGTTAACTAACTTTTCCTTGGAGATGCATGAAATATAAACTCACGTAAAGTTTTTGTTCACTTGGCTGACTTGTGCAGCCAGTAGCATCAGCTTGCATCCAAGCTAAAACTAGAAAGAAAACCCTATAAAAAATGTTGATGCCTGACTATGTGATCAATTTTAGTTTTCTGTAGGTTATTGATGATAGAATCACTGTAATTCAACAAATTATGCTTGAAGCTGAGGTTGTTTTTCTTGTGGTACTACAATTGGTTTGGTTAACGGACCTCTAGGTTAAGACACAGATTTTCATACCTATCAATGGAAACCAATAGTGTTCAAGTAGGCAGTTCCAATTTAACATAAATTGGAGATCATCCATTTTTAACCCATCTCAGTCTCTCTCCATTTCTTTTTTCTAACTTATTAAGAAAGACAATTGCAGACTAAGCCAAGAAACCATTTGAGGAAGAACTTCAGGCATGTATATCAATACTTACAAGTTAGTAAGGCAGCTTTCTAAGATCAAATTCTAAAGATCTTTAGGCATGTCTATCAAATTAGAAAGGGAGCACGATGTGACTACCAGCCCCTGATAGCCGAAACAGAAAAATCATGGTTTGTACTTTATTCTTTAACAACACCATTCCTTCTTTTCTTTTTTTTGGCACCAAACATTTTGACTACGAACTATTGTGCCTCAACTATTTTCTATTATACCAACTTTATGAGAAATTTCACATGAATTAAAAACTACTGCTAGCTACAGCTGCATAATTGAAGGTAGAACTGAACACAAGTTGCACAATGCAACTTATAACCGATACAATTAATAAAATCCAGGGCAGAGAACTGCAATGTTTTATAGAATAAACATTAAACTCTCGTAAAAATATAAGAACACGTGTGGCACAAACTTCACTCTTTGTACAATTAGCATAAAAGTACATAAAAAGACAGTTGCGCAATTTCTATCCGGTTATATGAGAGAAAGGAGCAAAGACACTGAAAGTTCACTCCATGTCATCCACACCAATAATGAATGGGTGCTCCTACATCTCAGAGATTTAGTGGTAATTGAACAACATCTAACTCGGAATAATGCCATCTAGAAAAAAGAAACCAAGCAATTATTCGTAATTATACACACAAACTGCAGTAAAAGAAGTTACCAACTGTACAGCTAAAGTGATTCTAAGTTTCCTTTATGATGTTGAAACAACTGGAGTACATTCTTACCTTAGCCTCAAGAGATGGTGATACTGGAAATACATTCAAAGATCTTTTCGCATCATCATCAGATGAACAGTCAGAACATAGAAAGTGATCCAATTTTTTGGCTTCTTCAATTGTCATACCCATACAAGAAGGATGAAACCTGCACCGCATAATTAATAAATGATCAGGAAACAATATGCTTCTGTGTTGTTATTGCATAAACCTTAAATTACAAGAAGCAACCACACATAACATAAGTCATGCTTAGTGCATAAAATATTAGAACACCACCAAGCAGTAGAATACCAAGAAAAACAGTACAAGTAACTAAACAACATAGCTAGTTCTATCTTCTTGCAGATCAATCAATTCGTGAACTTTTAGAGATGACTACAAATAAAAATTATCTTGATAAGCTCCTGCTTGGACATCATTGATAATAGCATTTAATAGAAAGTGGTGTTTACAATATGTTAGCACAGGATTAGCATATGGAACCTTTCCACAGCCTTTTTCAAGCTGGTTTATACCATTAAGACCAAAGAACAAAAGGACAATGAAGCTAGATACAGACCAGCTAAAGTGGCAACTTCAGTATCAAATACTGCTATGCATCGTATCCAATGCCTTATTTTATTTGTATAACAATGTAAAAGCCCACATCTCCTCCCAACATGTTTCTTTTTTTCCCTTTTTTGACTAAGGAGGCTATTTGGGGAAGCTCAACTATTAAGGATCCAAAAGAACAGAAAATCCGGGCACAAAATCATTTTTTTCCGCTTAACAGACACCCTAATCTGTTAATATACTATCACACAGGGTGGGTAAGCTTTTGGGAGTTCGCACAATGAGCTATGGAAATTTCTATGGTCATGGAAAAGTTAGTTGACATGGAGTTGGGAGAAGGTGTGGTTTTGCACAGGAAAGAAAAGGTAGCTATATTGGGAATATACTGAAGGAAAACAACAAAAGAGCATTTAGAGACAGGAATTATCTCACATCTCTTTGAAAGATGTTTAGCTAACACTATACATTGCTGACATACAAAGTGCTTAATGAGATGGATTTCTTATAGATTTTGATTATTTATTTTGTTTAAATTCTGCCTATGGTTTAGTTTGTAGGAGTTCTTCACTTCTACTGATCAAACATCAAAATACAAGGTGTTCACTTTCCCTCCATACCAGCCTTCAAATCTATATCATTTTTCACAATTAGACATGTTCCCAACCTTCAAATCCAGTTTTTTGGTCATTTCCAAAGACACCAAAGAAAGGAATTGAAAGTCTCTATAGATAGTAGAAGTTCACTTCATCTATAAAATTGGAAAGAAAGTTCTTATTGCCCAAATAAATAAATAAATTCTTTTTATTGTATATCATGCCATCTAAAAGATCAACCAGATTTGGCCAACACAAGATTGCAACATAATACAAAAAAGGAAAAAAGAAATCAATGAATCTACTCAGCCATCACCTTTTGATAACGCTATGAAATGAGATGTTCATGACATTCATTAATAGCATTAGTTAATGACATTACGTCTATGCCCAAGGATGATCTTCATGTTCAAACTATCTCTCAAACCCCCATTTAAGCATGTTTAAGATGCAAATTCTGCAATTTAACAATTTTGAAATCACCTACTATATAATAACATCAGTTTCCTAATTGCACCTCAACACTGCCTATTGCATTCTTTAGTTACTGACTATTTGAAAGTAATTGTTAAATACACAGATCTCATTTCCATACTTCATTTGATGTTGATAGGCAAAGAGTAACACCTATGTTCATTGGCTTCTTTCTTCCCCACCCCACCCCCTTTTCTTCTTATTTTTAAGAAGCCATAGAACCTTGATTTGCACCATTTTGCTGATATAAAAGACAATGATAATTGGTGCCAATTTCAAATTCCTTCACCCATCTTAGCTTTTGAAGTTCTAACGTGGTCCTTAAATGGAAGAATGAAATTTGTAGCAAAATCAGATATGCAAATTAGTCAATGAATAATTTCAATAATAACTGCAGTTAAATGAAATATTTCTTTCACCCTTCAAAATTAGGAAATGTATAGACCTCTCCATTACTACTAAATCACTCTTTTAGGAGGATCCTTCTGTACTTTAATCATCTTTAATTTCTTCAACTGATGGTACTTAATACTTCACCTACCATGTTCAACCATTAAGAACTTCAAAAAACAGGCAAATTCAAGTTTGAAGGAAAACAAAACTGATAATGAGATATCCATTCTACATAAGGGAATAAAACAGAAAATCAAAAGTAATTAATTTGTTGTCCAAAAGGTTCATCCTCAACCACACAGAAATCCTATACAGACAGAGTTTCATGTTTTAGAACAGTATTTCAATCAAAATTATGTTTAAGATATTCGCCTCTGCCAGGATTTTTCAACATGATTGACTATGAAGATCTGACACAAAGAGCTCCATATAAGTAGGAATCATGCATGAGAAATACATGCAGGTTTAATGCTACCAACTATTAGTCAATTTGCAAACAGGGAGAAGAGTTGCAGAAATAAATTACAAATAATCACAACTGATAAACTATGTGAGGATCATGGTGATGTACAGAAAAAGAAATAGGGAAGTTTAACAAAAGCCTACTAGCATGAAAGCTCAATGGTTATCTCCATGCGTTACAGGCAGCTGAAGTTGGTGCAGAACAAATAATCTACAGCCTAAAAATGGCTAATAAAGCCTGCAGTGTGTTAAATTAAGTATCTTTAGTTCTGTAAAAACATTACTGCATAGGAAGTAAACTTTCTATACAAGATTCAAGGTATAACTTAAATCCAAGGGAAGCCATCACTGGATATATTAACAAGAAGAAACCTCTCTTGCAACATGATGAAAATAGATAAGTGTCACAGATGCTACTTCTCATGCAATGCTCGATATGCTTTGCTGATGGCTATTAAGTACTCATGAAGTTAAAACAGCTACCAACATAAAACAGAGTTGACAGAGGGCAACATAATCTTACAAGCAATAGACAAATGGCTATCGCAGTCTAGAAATGGATTCCTATTTCTCTCACCAATTATAGATTTCCTTGAAGTTCTAGAAGAATGAAACAAATGGAAAGTTATCATTAGTTCTAATTATGAAGCTACAACAGTGCATTCAAATGAAAAAAAACGCCATGCCACATTGATTCTGACTAATTTAGCTCCAAGAATTTCAAAGATGAGATGAGATAGATGAAACTAATCTTGTAGTTACAATGAATGGAATTACAAAATTGAGTGTTATCAACAAATTACCAATCTTTACATCCCTCGCACTGCACCATGAGATCATCCGGATTGTATGGCATTTCGCATTTACAGTACCTTCAATAAAAAACCCAAAGACACCAGTTTTCATAACGCCATTCAATTAAACACTCAAAACCCAAAAAAATCAACTCAAAATTGCATCATAGAAAGAAACTCACACAGCTACACGATCAGGAGTGAACCCACCGGTGGCAGCCTTGTATTCGAACCTACAAAAGTAATCCTCAGCTCCAACATTTTCAAGCTTAGTATAGTTCTTGAAGGAGTGCACTGTGCACTTGCCTTCGATTGTGTGTGCACTTTGCACATCATGGTGGTCTGACAAAAATAACTCTTTGGCTCCGTGGAATTGACGGCGTCCCCCAATGGATTCCTCCGGCCGGTAGTACCACCGTACACGAACTTTAACGTTGTTTCGATGATCTGCCTCGATTTTCTCTATAAGTGCCACGTATGGAAGCTTATCGGTGTCTGATGGCCGCATCAACACGCAATCACCAGCTGCAATAACAAGCATGAATCCACCCAAAATCAAAAGCCAATAAAGGGCATGAAATAAATAAAGAGAAGGCATTTGATTTTTGTTAAAATGGAAAAAAATGTAAAGAAACAATAGGGTATTCAAAAATTGAAAGAAAAAGGAGACATTTTGGCAATAAGGGACTAAAAGTCTCACACTCTGAGCAAAGAAATTGATGGGGTTTTAATATTACAGTAAAAAAAAAAAAAGAAGGGAAGTTTGTTGCTGAAAAGTATAGGTTTTAAACAAGGTAAATGCTTACGTCTAACAACTTTGTTGGTGCCTTTGATGGTATAGGAATCAAGGTCTTTTTTGCCAGGTTTGGTTTTGGCCATGAATTGCTTGGTTTTTAGCTGGTAGTCAAGTGGTGATTTTTGCTCCTATTCTTGGAGGCACAAGGCAGCAATAATCAACGGAGACGAAACGTATGAAGATAAAGAGAGGTTCTGTTAGGGGTTAAGGTTTGTTGACAGAGAAGTGGAAGAAAAAGAAACCCTAGGCCAGGGCAGGAGCTAAGAAATTGGGGGCAGTGGCTATAGAGAGAGAGAGAGAGAGACCAGGTAAGAGAGAGAGTGACGTGGATTTTGTCCGTAAGGAAAAACAAGGTGGAAGACACATCATCATCACCATCAGCCTTTTAACGCATTTTTTTAAAAGAATATTTATACATGGTATACAGGACAAAATACTAGATGGGGATAAGAACTTGTACATTTTCTTCTAATACTGAGAATATACTGTACATGTTTATAAGATAAGGCTAGACTTCTGTAGTATCTCATAAGGGTAAATTTTAAATTACCTTACGCAAAACAAATACTTCTTGAATTAAAAAAAGAAAAAAAAATCTGATTTTATACTCTAATTGAAAATTTATGTCTAAATTAACAGTTAGTTAGTTAAGGTTTCCGTCCATCCACGCTTACGGATTACGGCAGGTGTTATTGGAGTTCGGTACGCCAGGTGTAATTGGAGTTAGGTATCTACTCATAATAGGATGGACGGAAACCTTAAACAAAACTAAGAAAAAAGGAGAGAGAGAGAGAGAGCGAAGGTTATTACAGTCATTAAAAACCTTTCACTAAAGTTGAATCCCAGCTTTCCAGAAACAACAAGCACCAATTAGTACACTCGAAAGAGGGAGAGAGGGACACTCTTTTCACTTTCAATTCTCAGAGTAGAATGTGTCTCAAGGGTTCTGCTTGAATGGTTAATGGCGAAGTAAGTGGTTCTGAGTTTGAGTGCTACTGTCTACGAGAAAGTTATTTGGATAGCTGTCTTGTTTGGTGCTACAAGAAAGTAAGAGATTTGTATGGATATTCAGGCCTGAAATATATTAAGAATTTTTTTTAAAAAAAAGTAGAGTGTGTCCAGCTCTTCATCGCTGGCTTTCCCAGTAGAAAAAAAACTTTTCTTTTTATTTCTTCTTCATCTCTGGCTTTCCCTTAATTTGCCTCCATCATCTTTTTTGGTTTCTCTCATTCTGTCTTTCCCTACAGATCTGGCCCATCTGCTTTAATGGAGACAGGGTTAACTCTCCATTTCTTGAGGTTTTAGATTATGCAAAACCCATTATCAATTTCGATCTCGAGGTGTTTGCTGGGTTATCCATGTTTGTTTTGTAACTATGACAAGGGGGTTGGTGCTGAAAGCAGGGTTACACATGCTGGACAAATAGGAATAGCTGGGGTATTTATCTTGGACAAAAAGCAATTCCTTCTACCTCGGTGCAAATCCAAATTTGTTGTTGTTGTTGCGTTTGTGCTGAAAATAATATTCTTTTTTTTTTTTTTTTACAACAACAGTATTTTTGTCTCAATTTTCGGTGATTTAACTTACTTTGGAACGATAGATATTGTCTTTAATCCAGTTCGGTTGGAATAGTTTAGGGCTAGATATTGTCTTTAATCCAATTTAGTGGGAATAGTTTGGGCAAGTTGGTTTGATTTTAGTTTAATTTGATGAAATGCATCAAAGAAATTAGCTTCTTGACGTGTGATCAGTTGCTTTAAGAATGATGCACTAATATCCTCGTTTATAATAACCATTGTTATTCACCCTAGCTGGTGAAAAGAGCAAAACGCATATCTTAACCAGCTAGCAGTCGAGTATAGATGAGATAACATCATCTGCAACTATATATTTTTGCATCTTCCCAAACTATATCCTTTAAATGACTTTTTCCATCCAATTTGAAGTGATCATGAAATGTAAAAAAATGGATTGGTTTTCTTGATGTGGAAAAAACCATTACCAAGTGCCTCTTAAGCTCTGCATTTATACTCTTTTGCTTTAAGGATGTAGTTCTTACGAGTCAAATTTGCATATCTTTCAAGTTCGTGAACTAGTAAACGGTAGTTCTTACTCGCATTTAAGTCTGCTTCATCATTTACTTCAAATCTACCCTTCACATGTACATCCATTTCCTTTTGACTTTTTGAAGCCAAGTGCGTGCATGGTTATTATTATTATTTTTTTTTATTCATACATCCAACACTTTTAATAAAATTAGTATATTATAATTTAAAATCATGATTTTTTGTTACAAAAAACTATTATTATTAGACTATAAATTCTTTAATTAGTTTGCATGGTAATGTTCGTTATGAATAATTAATAACATTAATCTTCGCTTTACAATCTTGTAAATTGGGTACTCTTCTGCCTCTTGTAGGACGACAGACAAGGGTAAAATACTTTAGGCGTCCATTATAATCATTTTTTGAACTTTTTTCTGGTAATACCGAATCCTTTTCGATGAGCACAGGCAACACAAAATCACCGTACTTCATCTTCAGAATTAAAAACCATCCCTATCTTTGGAAACAACTTTTCATCACCATTTGAAGTTCCTTCCAACTTTGACCTTTTGCCGTCTTTACCATTTGTAGTTTTTATGTCAATATACCCAACTCCCATATCCTGAAAATCAAAATATTAAAAATTAATTAAGAAATATTGCAACACACACATATATATATATCCGGTTCCTTACATGAATACAACAAATTAATTGGCTTTCATTCTTTCTTTTTGATAATGGAGCACAATAGCGATAAAACAAACAATATAAGAGAGAGAGAGAGAGAAAGGTGTAACAGAGGTAATGATTTCCTACTCATGAGTCATGAATTTGACAGACACACACAGTATAAGAGAGAGAAAAAAGGTACAACAGAGGTAATGATTTGCTACTCGGGAATTTGACGAACACACAGATCAGTAACCAATCTAGCTACTCTGTTCCTCAAAAGGTTTTCACGAAACAAAACTAATCTGCCACTCATGCTTTTCACAAACTAATTAATCTGCTTAAAAAAATTAACAAAACACAAAAGTTACAATTATAGCAAATCTACAACAAGAGAGAGAATTAAAAAAATATATATTTTTGAACATATCATTATTACTTCTAGTGTATCTAGATATATTTTATTATTATTATTATTATTATTTTCTGTTTTTCTCTTTAAATCAGATCGATAAAATAATTATTGATAATTATTACTTGAATTTCTAAAATTTCTCGATCATGCACTAGTTAGAATGATAAAAAGTTTTGCCGTACATTTTGAGGCTTTTCCATTTCCTACGAGTAGGAAAAATAAAGACAGAGATCAAATATCCCATCAAGGATTTGAGACAGAAAGAATAGCATTCGTGGTAAAATTACTCGTTTGGATCGATATATTAATTTCAAATACTCACTTTTGGGTTTTTATTCAATTTCTATCCTTGGTTATATATATATATATATATATATAGACACGCACACTAGACTAAGAATTATATTTCTAAATTATAATACTTACACCAGGAGTCACGTTTGTTTTTAATTTTCTAATAATCTCCTCAACCTTTTATACGTGTGTGTTTTTATTTGCTTATTTCCAAGAAAACTCGTAACATCCATGCTTAGCTCCCTTTGCTTTGGTATCTTCCATCATCCATAGCTACAATTTTCTTGATCAATTTTAAGGTAAGGTACCATCTATATGAACTGAAGTAGTTTTTAGTAGAATTATATATATATAAACTGAAGTAGAGTTGAAGGATTATCAACATAGCCAATATAAAGCTAAGGTTTTTTTATATGTATAATCGTAGCTTACAATTTCTTTTAAAAGAAAGTTATGAAACATGATGCATCAATGTTTTTCGAAAACAATAAACTATTTAGTGGGTGCAGTAATATGGATGTGTGGTGCTTAAGTTGTGGCAACCTTGATGAAGATGTTTCATGGACACCCCATTTGTAGAAACTAAGAAAAATGGAAGACCAAAATATGGCTTTTGGGTTGATTACTGCACTGATGTCGACAAAGCCTGATTTTGGAGTACGTAATATTTGATTTCAAATGGTAATCATCATTACTGTTAATATTTTTTCCACTTTGATATTTTGTTAATAAGAATATTCATGTAAATTAATGCATAGGGTACCCGCATCCACAAAAACATTCTAATCTTACTTATTTAATAATTGATTTTAAATAATCTTGTCTCTATAGGTTCAATTTGTCTATAAAAATTAATTAAATGACTTAACTAATTTATTATTATATATTAATCCATGCTATTTGACATGATCTCAAACTACATCATAAAAAGATTGGACTAAGGACGAGTCTTAGCATAAGGCCATAGGTCGTAAAGATAGGTACAAGTGCATTTGACAAAACAAGTGTACATGTTTTGTTTTTTGAGATACATTGAAGACAAGTTGAAAAAGTTTATCCTAAAAAGTTTAAACCTTTCAAGACAAATCTGTCTGTCTAAATTTAAATGATGTGGGATGATCCTAACGATCAAAAGTCTTTTTTTTTTTTCACTACAAATACCAACATTATATCATTTTAAGGGAATAAAAACTTTTTCATAAGAGAACTTTTGATTTCTAGCAAAAAAATAAAAAAAATCATAAACTCTTTATCTCAAAGCCCTTAGAGCATCTCCAATGCTCTCTTTATATTAAGATTTTTCTTTATAATAAAGAGGTTTGATCCAAATTTCATTTCCAATGCTCTTTTTATCACAATCTCTATCTTTAAAATTGATATAGATAGTGTTTTTAGCTCTCTAATACTAGAGAGTCTAAATGACTCTTTATCTTATATTTTATTAATAAAAATTATTATTTCATATGCCACTCAACCTCTTCACCAATAGTCTCTGTAGGTTTTATAGATTTTGTCAAAATAAAGAGTTAAGCAAAGAGTAGCATTAGAGAGGATATTGATCTTCAATCTATATAATTAATTATGCTCTCTATTTACATTAAAAATGTTAGTTAAAAGTAAAAAACACCATTGGAGATGCTCTTAAACTTTTCATCTCAAACTCTCACACTCACATACCAAACAATACATAAAACTTCACATGTTTAAACTTTGACTACTCACGTGTCGAGTCACTCAACTTGTGCTTTGCTAACATTATTTACTTTTCTTTTTATATCTCTCACTATTTGTATTTTTATCATTTGGCTCTACGACCATGTCAATCGGTGATCCGATCGGTTCTCAAAAACCCTCTTTACATTGTCTTTGTCCATGTTTTTATTCTCGGGCACATTTACATTGCAAGGGTTTGTTTGCTTGTTTCTCTAAGTTATCTTTTCTTTGTAATTAATTACTCTATTCTTGCTAAAAACAAATAAAAAGAAAAGGCTAATATATATTAAATTTCAAGTTTGTTAATAAGCTTTAAAGATTTATTTGTGTTTTTAGAGCTTATTATCTTTATTTTGATGCTGCTAGGGATGATAAAAATAAAATCAATTGGACAAGTATTATTTTTAAACACAAATTCACATAACAAAACTAATAAAACTTTAATATCAATAAAATTGTTTATAAGATAAATTGGAATTAATACCTTTACTTGTCCCCATATAATAGGTCAATTTTTTAATCTGTCCATGGTAAAACACCTCTAATTTTTTTTTATATATATTTTAACCGGTTTCTAATCTATCCTTTTAATTAAAATTTCTACTAAGTTAAGCTAAATTAAATATATGATTGCACATGATATGTGAATTGATAAAAATATATATATATATATATATATAATACAAATAATCTATATCTATTAATATAAAAATTAGTTAAGAGATTTTAACTTAAAAAAATAGATTAAAAACCAATTTAAAATATAAAAACAGACTGGAAGCATTTTTTTTAACGACAAATTAAAAAATTTACCTATTATATAAAAACAGATGAATGCATTAACCCTAAAAATTGGTCACTATGTATATAATCCCTTAGATACCTTTTTTCTATTTAAGCTTTCTTTTTTAATTAGTGTTTTTAATCCACTATTATATTTTGTTTTTTTGAATTAACTCTTATGGTGAGAGATTTGTCGAGTTAGTCTATAAAAAAAAAAAAAAAATCGGTACAACTATGAGTCTTTTCTTTTTTTTTTTTTTTTTTCGCCATGGAGCAAACTCGTAGCTGTTGATCTAGAAATAGGATTGTTTATATATATATAAGGACGAGGTGTTGCAAACAGCAAATAGCTAGGAAACATTTTTCATTCATGTGCATCTTTTGAAGGGCAAGCGCAACGCCTTGCCCTGAGCAATATGGGGTCGGTGTTTGCCAAGCTAAGACTCCAATATAAGCAGCTGGAACCCGCTGATTATGCGAATAGGCTTGATTAATTGGCTCAGATGGACACCGGGGCAAAGACTAGAAATCTGGCATCTGATGCAGATGAAGCTTGCTGCATCAATCAATTCTTCTTGTAGGAAAAACAAATTCCATAACCTTTGGAAATAAAAGCATGTTTAAAGCTAGTGTCATGAATCCAATCAAGTGGAAAAAAAATTCCACCAGCAACCCAGTTAGAATTTCTGGATAACAACAGAGCTAGCTATGCCAGCCTCCTCAATTGTCTGATCAGGATCAGTGAGTTGTTTTGGAGGGAATCCCATTGTCTGCAGTTGATAATTGCTTGCCCCACCTGGCCTTGATGCCTCGATGAAGGCACGTATATCCCTAATAGTATGGTTTAAGTTGAAGTGAGAGACCATGCGTGTGCCATCTGCTAACCTGAGCTGAATTGAAGTTGTTGGTGATGAAGAGTCTATAGCTAGACCTGGGGTCGGGAGTGAAGCAGGCTTGAGAGAAGCAACAGCAACAGTTGGCTCAGAGGCAGCTGAGACGGTGGTGCCACTGCTGTCACCTAAAGTTCTTCCCACACCTCGGAATGAAGCTCGAGGCTTCTCTGGTTCCTGCATAAAATAGGAGGACGAGGGAACAGTGATGAAAAGATAAAGGCAGAAAATAAAATCTTATAAAGAAAAATAGAGTAAAAAAAGAACTCACAGAGTAGTTTTCCTCTCGGCGCATGAGATCAAGATGCACTTGAGTCCTCCTATCTGCTGGTTCAAGCTCTTTCGGACACTCAGACTGCTTGATGCTCTGCATGAGATGCATTTAAATAACCACAATTTTCCATTAGAGGATAAACACTAAATGAATTGCAAAGCCTTCCATTATAGCAGGCTTAACTTCACAAATCCAATGGAAGTCACATAAAGCAAGAATTACTACGAAATTAACTTCAGTTTTTAACCAGAAAAACTCAAGCTAAACCAACACACAAGCATGTGAATTTTACCATAAAGTACTACCATCACCCCAGAAGTCATAAAAACACTTGCAGACAGAGAAATTTAAACCAATTAACATGATAGACCATGTGCTTCAGCAAGAATCGCAACAACATTTTACCTTACACCGGTATCAGCCAAACATCATGTGTAATCATCTATGTATACAACAACGATTTAAAAATACAGAACAGGATTAAAGAATTACCTCCAAAAAGGAGGCATTGGCGGGATCATCAAACCTCCTTAACGGACCATCATCCACAGTGAACCCATTCCTCCACAGAGTGATAGTATGATTGACCGCTGCAGGTGGCTGAGGCGCAGACGGGACAACTGTATCCCCTGAAAGTAATCTCCCTGTTCCAGGGAAGCTTCTGGAACTCGAAGACGGTTGAAGGTAATCAGCAGGTCTTTCCACAGCTCTTGAATTTCTAGCTTGATCAAAAATTGCATCCACGTCGTAACGTTTGGTAGGGTCTTGAACCACCATTCCACTGAACAAAAAAAAAAAAAATTCCCGACTAACATTTGTTTCGATTAACACAAGAACTGAACTAACCTTAACCCTAACCCTAATTCCACAATTCAGCTTAATTTGGGTTCCAATATTTTAGGGTTAACAAGGCAACATTAAAAAAATGGAAGTTACCTCTTTTCACCGCCAGTATAATACTGCTGCGGCTCATCATCGTCCTCATCACTGCCGGACCCACCATCAGGGATCCGATTAAGATCTGCAAGCGTTCGGACTCCGCCACGTGACCGATTGGAGCTGGGCTTCTTATCCCTCGATCTTAGCCTGTAGGGAGCCCGAGAAGGGATGGGAGAAGGAGAGCGAGAGCGAGAAGGAGACTGGGATGGAGAGTAATTGGGAGAGTGAGAGTGTGGAGGGGAAGCTGAAACAGAAGGAGAAGGAGAGTTAACGGGCTGAGAAGGAAGAGGAGGGCTTGTGGCTACGAGAGGAGGGGCGGAGTCGTTGTCGAGGAAAGTAGAGACGGCGGAGTCGAGATCCCATTGGTGACTTTCTAAGAAAAAGACGGCTTCTTGTTTAGAAGAGGAGGTGATCTCGCAGAAAGCATCGATTAAGGCAGTGTTGTTGGTGTCGTTGAGATCAAAATTCGGTGGTGGCGCTGCTGTGTTGTCCTCCATGGATTGAGGATTACGGGAATTTGTTTGTGTTTTTGGGTTCGGCGAATTGATATTAGAACTTAACAGTACCTTTCCTCTCCAACAAGAAACGTACACAGGAAGAGAACGGTGCCTGATTATATAAATATCAAATAATAAAAATAAAAAACGATGAACGCTTTTCATGATTTTTTTTTTTAATGCTATTTCATTGCGGTCGACTAAATGGAACACCTTACAACCAATTTTTTTTTAATTGACCATACACTTTTATTTTTGGTGCCTTGCATTTCATTATTACATATGATATCCATTAGTTTCAATTTATATTTTTACTTGAACTTATGATGTAATGATACAAACCTTTGAGCATGGCACGCGCGCTGTGCACACACACTTGTGTGTGTGTGTGTGTGTGAGAGAGAGATTTACTTAATCATCTATATTTATATTTGTGTTGCCAAAAATAGTTACGTCATGATATGAAATTTACGTCGATGAAAATTGTCAAGTCGTGAGTTGCAATTTTTGTTAATGATTTTCTTGTTTTATTGTATGCTTCATCGTTGAATGTTATACCTAGTCTATTCTTAATATTAATATTATGTGTATTGCTTGTATGTGATTTTATGAAAACTCTAGAGTGATTCATGCTTAAGGAGTTTGATTGAATTAACTAAACAAGTGAGAGAGGGCTTATTTTACATTGAGTTAGTAAAAATTTAGATGTCATCACCTAAACTTGCATGGATGAGTTGGCTAGAGAAGTGTCAACACCTAAGATTTTTAACCATTTTATATGCATGGTTTAGCACTATACAAAGATGAAAGTTTATTTTGGTCATTTTGTTCCTGCAAAGAAAAACATATAGAAAGAGAGAGCTTGAGAGGGAGCTAGCCAAGCGAGGAGGAAGCTCGGGTAATTGGCAAAAAGCAAGGATAAGGAACAAGGTGAAGTTCTTGAGGGATCTTGAAGTGTTTTCCTTCATATGTAACTTGTTTAAGTGTAATCTCAAATACATCACAAGATTTAAAGGTCTTAAGCTTTTATGTGTTAATTGACGCATGTGATTGAGCATGGATAGTTTAAGCTTAATATGCTTATGCAAACGCTCGATGAATTGATTGTTTAATTAAGGTTTGTTCATGTGTTTATGTAAGGATATCTAAATGTAGCTCTCACCTACATTATAAGACCTAGTATGTATGAATTCCATTATTGAGGGATTATGAACATCCTTATTGAAGTGTTGTATTTTGGGTAAATTCTTGCCGAATTGATAGGCAATTACTTGATGTTTTGTTTTGAATGCATTGCCTTAATTTTCATAAGCATGATGATGCATCATGCATGTTGCTTAGCTAGCTTGTGTGAATTCTTATCGAATTGATAGATAAATGCTTGGTGCCTAAATTTGTATAACTTGTGTAAATTCTTGTTGAATTGATGGATAAATTCTTGGTGGCTATATTTTCATAGTTTGTGTGAATTCTTACCAAATTAATGGATAAATTCTTAATGCTCGTATTTTTATAATTTATGTGAATTCTTGCTAAATTGATGGATAAATACTTGGTGCCTATATTTTAGGTAGTTTGTGTGAATTTTTGCTGAATTGATGGAGAATTGCTTAGTGCTTAAACTTACATAACATTATGGAATGAATTCATGATGAATTGACATTGAACTTCTCGAACTCATGACATGATATTGACATTAGATTTCATGAACTCATGCTCTAAGCATGCAAAGAGGTCAAGTGCATATTTATAGAGAGGCCACCTACATAAATGATCCGGTGTATATCTAGAGTTGGCTCTCAAGTATATTATTTTGGTTTACGATATTTTCATTAAGATTTTAAAAGATGATCGAATTAGACATTCAATAGGACATTTTGAAAGACAAAAGAATTTTTATCGTAAAAATATGTTTAACCAATTCATGCATGGTTGCACTTATTGAGCCTTAACTCATGATTTGTGTCTTGTGGTGTAGGTAGTCGTAACAAGACCTAAAGTATACTATCACATTGGAGGTGTTGCTTGACATATTTTGATTTTATTGAAAAGTGTAATATAGACGTAGGTGTTAAGCTTATAGTCTAGACATTGTCCATATTATATGCATTGCCTAGTTTTGTTTTGTAAGAGCATGTGTAAATAGCCTTTTTTATCGTAATAGCATATGAACTAGTTGGTGATTTATGAAATGAAGCTTTGTTTTGTAAAACTTATGTTGGCCTCATTTATGTTGAATTTTTTATGTTAAACCATGCCCTTTGCATTGATAAAATATTTTTACATCATGACATAAAAATTTATGTTGACTTTTAATAAGTTGAACTAAGACTGCCATAGGTTTAATTCTATGGGTTTGAGCTTTAAAAAGAAAATATTTTTCCGTTATGCATTTTATGTCCCATACAAGTCCCATGTCATAGGACGTTGTTGCCCATTCAATAAGCATAAAACATGGTCATGGTGTGTCTAGCCTCTATTAGTCGAACGTGTTGTAGCTATATCCAATGCTTTATGAATGTTTGATGCTTTAACACTTGTGGCCTCCACGTTTGGCCCTCGTGTGTTATAGAGTGGTATCAAAGCAAGTTGGTCTAGTAGGCTTAAATAGTACATGTAAACTCAAGTTCTAGTAACATCATCAACGTGTAAGTATTTAAATTTTTATCGAGTATGAATACCGATTTTATGGTTATTAAATACGAATTCTTAATTATTGCTTAGCAAATATGCTTGATGATTTTACAACATGTTCACATGATGATGACTATATGATGAATTTAGTACTTAATAATTTCGTATTACATTTACTTAATAAAATATATGATATGCTTAATGCTTATCGATATTATTGGATGTGTTTATGTTAGCTTATGAATCGGGATGATCATATGGGTATGATATAGAATAGAATAATATGGTAAGAAGAAAGTTAGCGGTTATACCTAAGGCACTTGATGTTGTTTATGAGGTAGCCATTATGTCGAGGGAGGTATTAGAGTCTAAAGATATGGTTCGAAATTATGAGTTAAAGAATGAGGATAGGATTTTGAAATTTGATTTGATTTCTTTGAGGATTCAAGATTTTGGTGTCATTCTAAGAAAGGATAGCTTGCTTAAGAATAGAGCATTGATTGATTGTCCTATAAAGAAGGTTGAATTTCATCTCGTCAAGGGAAAAACCATTTCAATTTTGAGCTAAGAATAAGCTAAAAATAATAGCCATTATCTCAACCATGAAGCTTTAAAGATGGTCCGAAATGGTTGCTTAGGTTATCTAAATAATGTGGTTGATATCAAAAAGGAAGTTAAGAAAAAACTTAAAGACATTGATGTAGTGAGGGACTTTTTAGAGGTCCTTCTCAAGAGCTTGTCGAGGTGCGACCAAAATGAGAAGTTGAATTTGAGATTGAGCTAAAACTAAAAACGACATTGATTTCTCAAACATCGTATAAAACAAGACATGTATAGCTTCAAGAGTTGAAAATCAGGTTACAAGATTTGTTAGACAAGAGCTATATTTAGCCTAGTTGTTCACCTATGAGAGCTCCTTATTGTTTATGAAGAAGAAGGATGAAACTTTACGATTGTGTATTAATTACCCCGGTTTAAATCGAGTTAGCATCAAGGATAAATATCCACTTCCTAGTATCAATAACTTGTTTGATCAATTGAGGGGTAACACAATGTTCTCAAAAGTTGATTTGCAATATAGGCATCATCAATTGGGAGTTAGAGAGGAGGATGTAAAGAATATGGTTTTTCGGACACGGTATAGGCACTACAAATTTTTTATGATGATGTTTAGGTTAAACAATACCCTTGTGGTATTCATGAATTTGATGAGTTGAGTTTTTTAAGAGTATTTAGATAGCTTCATTATTATGTTCATTGATGAATTTGATTTACTCCAAGAATTAAGAGGAGCATGCCCAACATTTACACATTACGTTGTAAACTTTACGAGAGCACAAACCGTATGCTAAGTTTAAAAAATGAACATTTTACCAAAACAAGTATCATTCTATGGGTATGTGATTTCTAAAGATGAGATTATGATGGATCTAAGCATGGTTGAATTAGTCCAAGGATGGAAGCAACCAAAAAATGTGTCCAAATTGAGGAGCTTTTTTGGCATCGTAGGTTACTATCATAAGTTCATCGAGGTATTTTTAAAAATTACAGCCCCACTTATGAAGTTGAGCGTAAAGAATTCTAAGTTTATGTGAATGATGAGAGTGAGAAGACCTTCTAAGCTCAAAAATTTAGATCGACTTTGGTACCGATTTTGGATCTTTCATAGGACAACGAAGATTTTATCATTTATGTCAACGCATCAAAAGTGGGCTTAGGGCTATGTTAATGTAGGTTGGCTTAGTAATTGCTTATGCTTTTTGACAGTTGGAAAACTATGAAAGAAACAATCCGATGCATGACTTAGGGCTTGTAGTCGTGGTGTTTGCGTTGAAAACATGAAGACACTACTTATAGGGGACTTAGTATGAAATTTACATGCTATGATGAAGACACTACTTATATGGAGCTCAATATGAAATTTATATCGATTATAAGAGCCTCAAGTATATTTCCACGTAAAAAGAGTTGAACATAAATCAACGAAAATATCTTGAAGTGCTAGAGGATTACAATATCATTTTCCACTATCACTTGAAGAAAACTAATATCGTAATGGATATTTTGAATTAAAAGACATGGACTATGTTACAAGCGAGAAATCATTAACGATTTATAAAAAATATAGCTAGAAATTCTATAAAGAAGGGCCAATAGCAATTGAGTAAAAAAACATGGACTAAGTTTCATCACTATTATAAGATGGGCGAGGTGATCTTCCAAGTTCCGACCATAAACAAGAATGTCATCAAAGAATATCAACATAAATTTTTAGGTTTAATCACATAAAACATCCTTCTACTATTGACATTTTCTTCATGTGGCCTTTTTACTTTTTTTCCTTATTCATCACTCCTTATACTCTT